CATGTTGTTGTTGTGTGTGTTTGTGTGGAGAAGGACATGTAAGCTCATGCCCCAGCATGGGGCAGGTTGAGTCTATTGTTGTGTGTGTGTGTGCGTGTGTGTGTCTGTAAAGTTATTAAAAGCATGCAAAACATTTCGGCAGCTGGCGCCGGGATGTTAGCCAGGGGGTGGGTTGGCAGGGGGCGTGTCATTTACATAACTATGGCTAAACAAACACGAAATGCCGCCTGCCCGGACACGAATACCAAAACCCAGCCAACCTTTCCCCGCTACCCAAGCAATAGAGGTGTTTTTGGGACTGCCCAAAAATGTTCTACAAAATAACACAACCGCAACAAATTACCAATAAACACAGCTGAAACAACAAATGTGCCAATTGTTGCTGTTGTTGTTGTTGTTGTTGAGCGGAAACAGCAAACAAAAGTTATTCGAGCAAATCGTACAGCTCATTGTTATAGATGACACGGCACAATAAGTTGATATAAATGATTATTTTATGCTCGAACATGGACTGTAAGCTGCCGATTAAACTTGTCACAAGCAGAGCCCAGGCAAAAATACCCAAAGCTGAGCTTGTTACTCAGAAAATTGTCAAAATATTAGAAACAAATGATAAACTTTGCGCAGCTGCAGATTAAATGCCCAAACCCTTGAAAATCCCAAGAAAATTTGGCTAGCAAAATCGACGAATTGTGTCCAATTCATAGATTCGCTCATTTTGATACCCTTTGCAAGTGTTTTTAATGCACACAGCGCGTAAAATTAGCGCAAATGTTGAAATAAAAATAATGGCAAATGAGAAGTAATTAAATGCGAAATAAAATTGCGAGCTCATCTTCTGGACGCACAGTTTAACTGGCTCCGGTGACCTTTTGTTGGGCGCAACTTTTGCCATTTCAAGGTAGTCACATAAAATTGCATATTTATGGCAGCATCAACGTGGGATGCGCTGTGTGGGGCATCATTGGTGTCAGTCTGTTGCCCTTGGGTGCTTGCCAGCCCCATCTCCTTGCCGCCTGGGGCAGAGGAGCGCAGCTTTCATTTGATTTCCATGTGCGGTCGCGCCACACCCGAAGTGTAGGCAAACAACGTGAATGTTTATGTTCTCTGCACGTTGCCACAATTCAGTCGAGTTCCTGCAATTGCGAAGCTATCAAAACATGTGCTACACGCCGCATCGTCTCGAGTGTGGCAGGGGCAACAGCATGTTGCCACAGCAATATGTGAGAAGGGGCGCAATAGCAGCTAACGTTGGCCAACTTGTTGCCGAGTTCAGTTCCTGCTGCTGCTGGTGCTGCACTCTTGTGGCAACGTTTGCCATTGCTTTATGGCCTTTACCCCCCACCCCACCACCCCACCACGACTTACCCACCGTAAGCCCCGCACCACCCACCGCAGCTACAAGCCGACACAAACTCTTCGCCTAACCAATTGTATGTGGCATGTGGTGCGTATGAGCGGGGCCAACATGAATGTTATTTCATTTGCTCAAATGTTGTTCTACCCTATTCACAAAGTCTAATGGGGTATATTTCTCACCAAGTCCACAAACTGACCTCCAACGAAGATCTAGCCTTGCCCAAAAACCACAAAACACGTAAAAGTCTATGCTTAACGAGAAATTTTGGAAGTCTCTGCATTGTTTTTACAGTTTGAGAGTCACTAGCCCAAACAATACTTTGCATTTTGGAGTCCTTCTGTCGTTCCTTCCGAAAAAAGAAAACACACACATTTTTTCAGGTATATTTGTTGCACTGAAAATTTCACAAAGCTCGCAAGTGAAAGTTAATCAATAATGCATTTCTTACAGTGTAAGTCTGGAAGAAGAAGCACAAGCGCAGCGTAAACTGCGCAGCAAGCAGCTTGCGTGCTTATATGTGTGTGTGTGCGTGTGTTTGTATATGTGTCTCCTCTTGTGTATGTTAGGCAAAAAAGCGAGAATGTTCGTAGCACAAGCTTGAGTTCAGGGTATTTGCTCGTCGAGCACTTCCCACCAGAGCTATTTTAGTTATATTTTTTTATAGTGTTTTGCGGCTGACGGCTTTTGTGAGAGCTGATGAATTGGTTTTGCGGTCTTCCAGTCAAATGCACTTGGCTCGAGTTTGGTTTTTATTTGAAAACCACCTTTTTTAATATTATTTTGTTTTTATATTCATTTGAACAAAAGCCTGCTTAAAAGCAAAACTTCAACACACACGTACACAAACATTCACAATCACACACACACACACACAAACGAATTCATTAAGTTGCCCAGTTTACCAAACTGATTTCGTTCCATGTTTCAAATTCAAATGTCTTTTGTGTGGTTTTTCGGGCGACCTTTTAAACGGCAAACCGCCACCCCCTACCCCCTACCCACCACTCGCTGACCGAACAGCTTCCAAGCACACAGCTGATGTAAAAATTAGAGCACACAAATGTGTCCCAAGTGCGTGTGCCCTCTAGCTGGATGAGCGCGCTGCGGCAGCGTGCTGCTCCTGCTGCTGATGATGATGATGATGATGATGGCTGGTCCTTGTTTCTGCTGGGCAAAAAAAAAACAGCCCAGCACATTTGTAATTTGTTGGGCAGCACAATGAAGTCTACGTTTTGGGTGGCGCCTGCATAAAGCATGTCGCACATCGCACATCGCACATCGCACTTAACCGTCGGCTTGTAAGCGATGCCCGTGTTGTGCGCTGCCCCGTCGCCTGCATAATTTATGCGAAATCAGCGACGAAGACAGCGCAATTCACCACACCACAGCAGCAGCCCACCACACCGCCAAGCCACCAAACCAACGGCAAACCCACCAACAGCTGCCAGCGGCGTCTGCACGTAAAATGCTTTATCCGCGTTTCATTGCCGCGCGACAACAACAACAAAAAAAGTAGCGGCAGGCAACAAATTTACAAATTTGCTGCGCAGCTAAAAAAAAATATTAACGCTTGGATTTCATACCTGCCACAAAGAAGAAAAAACAAGAGATGGGGCTAGAAGAAGAAGCAGCAGCAGCAGCAACGACAACTGTAGCTCAACACACGACAGCCAGACAGACGCCTGGCATGTCTTCCATCTTTGAAAAACTTTGTCTTCAGTCAGACGAAGTTGTTCCACTTTATGCCTCGCCCGACCCCTCCCCAACAACCCATACACACCACTACTTTTGCTGTGTTTGTGGGTCTTAAGGATAATCACCTTGAAAACAGAACAGACTTAAGCAGTACAGAGAGAGAGAGAGAGAGAGAGAGAGAGAGAGAGAGAGAGTGCGAGAGCAAACGTTGTTTTTATCGCACTTCTTTCTTTTACTTTCGTGCTGCTGCATGCGCCTTTTTGTCCACACTTTGCCGCTGTGTTTATTTTTGCATAATTTTCTTTTATCCTTAGTCCAATGTATTTTTCATATTCTGCTTACCTGGCCTGGCCTGGTCTGGCCAGCACTTACGCATGCTGCTGCTCCTAATCCTGCTCCCGCTCCCGCTCCAGCTGCTGCTTCTTGTTTGGAAATTGTCGTCTCAACAAATTTGTTTACCTGGGTGCGTGTGCGTGCACATAACGGCACATTGGCAAGTTTCTAACGATTACACACAGAGAAAGAGAGACCAAGATAGCGTGAGTGGGCGAGAGAGAGAGAAAGAGAGAGACAGCGAGTGTAAGTTTCTATTTGATATCTTGCTCATTATACAAAAGTTGCGTGTATATAAAAAAAACAACGAAAACATTTCATTCAACTTTTTGGGCCCAAATTCAATGAGGCCAAGTTAGCGCCCCTAAATGCTTTTCCCATAAAAAAAACTACAACAACAACAACAACAGGGCCAAAACAAATGAAACGGGAAACCGTTTGTACCAAATTATATTATTGCCATAAAGAAAACAAACAACAAAAAAACGAAAACAAAAACGAAAAGCGAATCTTTTTACAAACTCGTTTCGTTTCGGCTCTTATGATTATTTTCTTTTTGGTTTTACCCACAGACCGCTTAAATGTTTACTTTACTTTATTTCTTGTAGTCCGTTTGTTGTTCTTGCTTTTACAGGGCGCAAGCCAAATGAGTTTGAGGCGCAGCAACAACAAAGTTAACAACTAACTTGCTGCCGTCCAGCACGGGTTGTCCTTAATGTGTTACGAAAATATCAAACGTAATGAGGGTCAAACGTAATGTTTGGGCTTTGGTTTGGTTTTCTTTATTTTTGCTTTGGGCGGCAGACCAAAAAGGGTCCTGCTTGACCAGCTGCGGCTACTTGTTTGCCGAAGGGCACCAAAAAGTGGCCACAAAACAAAACATAGATTTTATGCACAACGCTGCACATTTGAACTTTTCAAGTCAAAGTCTTAACGATTCGCCACAGTCTTAACGAGAAGGAGCTATTCGTGGAAGTATTCACCAGTTAAATAAAAGTTATTACGTTTTAAAACATTTCCGCTAGACATTTTGCACTTGATGATGAGCTTAAGAAAATTACAAAAAAATGGCGCTCTTTTTATCGAAATGGTGCGATATGTTCGATAACGCAAAACGCAAAATGAGTCGAAAGCGCGCAAAATGCGCAACGTAACGAAAAAAAAACGTAAGGTTTGGGCTTAGCGCTATAAACAGACGCACTAAGTTGGCTGCACGCAATCGTCTACTCACCTTAAGTTGTCCCCGCTCGTGTTCGGCTTTCTTGGAATTTTTACCATATACTGCTCGCGGTCGCACTGAAGCTGACAAAAACAGATGTAAACAATTCGAGTGTATTCCCAAGACCATATTGCATGTAATCTTCACAATTCATAATGTTTCACTACACACTGCCTTGTGGTGGATTTAATACACTGACGAAACTCACTGAAACGGGAATTAACTTCGATCCGCCGGTGTACGAGCAGCGATATTGTGCTACAATTCAAATATTAGAGGATGCGCGCTGGGTACACGAAATCAAAAAGGTCACTGAATTCGGGTGTGTATTATTGTTCACTTTAGTTGTTTTAATTACATTTATCACGTTTTTTATCTGTTTTTTCCTTCAGCTGTGCTGAGATGCGACTCTTCCAGTTAATGCGACGCATCGAAACTATCGAACATATTCTGCAGGTTTGTAATGCGATTAAGAGCGCCATTTCCCTATAAATGAGTTATTATTTGTAACGTAATCGATATGGGGAAATTAAACAGTTAGCTTATATGGGTAATTTTTAAAGACATACAGTTTCTAGGTATTTTATTTATATACGCAGTTTATATCCTAGCTTAAACTTAATAATTATGTTTTATGCAATAATAACCTTCATCTAGTTAAATACTTTTTATTCCTTTTTTTTTTGAGGGGATTATCATTTATGTAATATTCGGGTGCGACTTAAAGCGAGCGTAACTTAAAAACTTTCAAATAAAATTAAAATTAAACAATAATTTGCTATCAAGGCCAATTTATAACCTAACGGTGCACCTGTCTCAGTGCCTACACATTCATCTCTCCTATGTGTGTATATATATATATATATGTCTGTACTGTAACAATTTCTGCTTAATATGTCCTTAAAAATGTTGTATAAAATGAAAGAACAATAGAAATTACACAACATTCTGTGCTTTTCACTGTATAAAATGTGCTGGAACAACTTGATGAATAGACATTGATCCAATGAAGGCCTAACCAACACAATTTTCCTGCCTTTTGATCATAATTCTTAATTCACCTCGCGCTCTCGCGCTCGCTCTCTCTCTCTCTCTCTCTCTCTCTCTCTCTGTTGGTGTCTCTCTTTCACTTAGGGTATAGTTTACTTCTAAAAAATACTTGAAAACGCAGCATAACTGTTATTTGTATTTACTGTTATTTATGTAGTTTTGCCAGGCTCCACTAATTTGTTGCCATTTAGCAGCAGCTATTAATTATTTGTTTTGTTGTGGGAGGGAGGGGAGGGTAGGGGGTTGTGGTATCTAACTATCGTATCACTTGCGGCATTGCCTGGACGAGTTGACATTGCGCCCCTTGCCGTAGCTGTTCTCATCATCGTATTGCCACACGCTGTACACATTCTGCATATTTGTGGCATAGTTGTTCTCCACATCCTGCTGCCGCTCGCCATGTATGTGTGGTTCAGTCTTATATAGACAGCGACGGGTGCGCCGCTGTTTGGTTGGATCCTGATCCACTGATCGACTGGACTTTAGCTTGTTGTTGTTGTTATTGTTGTGATGATGATGATGATGATGATGATGATGTTGCTGCTCCAATTCACCAGTGGCGGACGCCATTGTCGCGTTCTCCTTGCGAGTGGCGCAGCCACGTTTATTGCCCCCGACTGTTGTTAACGGTGTGACAATCACCCTGTGATCCTGCTGCTCCTGCTCCTGCTGCTGACTATGGCCATTTGTGTTTCTCAATTTGCCAGTTCGTTTGCGCGTCGCGCCTTTGCCCTTTCCCAGCTGCTGTTGTTGTTGCGCTTGCTGCACCTGAATCAGTTTACTGTTGTTGCGCGGACGCCCACGGCCCCGGCGCACTGCCTCCGACTGTGTCGTGCCTTCACTTTCATCGCTCTGCTGATAATCCATCTAAGCATGATATAAGGACATTCATGAATGAAATCTTTGGCTATTCTATATGTAAAGCTTAGCACTCACCTCTTCGTCTTCACTTGTTGCCTCTGGCTCTGCTTCTTCCATGTCAACCTCTTCTTCTTCCTCCTCCTCCTCTTCTTCCTCCTCCTGCTCCTCATCTTCTTCCTCCTCCTCCTCCTCCTCCTCATAATCCTCATCGTTATCTTCCGCGGCCTCGTATTTGTCCGCTTCACTTGCCTCTTCGTTGTTGTGCTCCTGCACGCACAGCCCCTTGTCCCGTCTGCTCTGCTCCACAGCCAATATCGCATAGGTCGGCCTGCCCTCGTACCGCCTGGGCAGACGCGACTGCAGCGGGCAGATGACCTCCTCACGCTCAAACTCTTTGACAGCACGCTCGCGTGCTATTTGATCGGGATCCTGTGACAGCACCTCCGCCCACGAGAATTTCTTCTTCTTGGCATTCTTTTTGTTGGACTTGGAACGCAGATTCTTGGGCGAGACACGATTCGTTAGCGAGTGCTCCTGGAATGGTGTGCTGAGCGTCGCGGAGCGCATCACATTGCATGCAATTTTATTGTTCAGCTCGAATATGTCACACTTGGCGCCGCCATCGAGCTCATCCTTGATGCAGGAGACACGTGTGCGCAAGATCTCATCGCTGCTCAACTGCATCTGGCTGCAGTCGTAGCCGAGGCGGCGATACTCGCGCTTGAAGATGCTGCGATAGCGCTCATAGTTGGGCCGCTCCTGATAGGCGAGCTGTCCGATCTGCTGCAGAAATTCGCCCAAGTATTTAGGAACCTGTTTGCCATAGAACTGTCGCAGCATTTCGCACACATCGGTCATGAACAGCTCCTTGGCGCGATGCACCTTCTCCTGCTGCTGCTGCTGGGCCACATCCTTCCATGGCAGATAACCCTCCGACCAGTACAGTAAATTATAGCCCAAGCATTCCAAATCGCTGCGACGCGAATGCGCGCCCAAGTGTGCATCCCGCGAGGTGAACTCCAGTGTGCCATCGTGCGCTCGTCGCTGATCCATGATGAAGGGCCTGTGCACGCCGCGATCCTGATACTTGGAGGCCAGACCAAAGTCAATCAGGAATATGTGCTCCTCCTCCACCTGCACCAGCTGATACTGTGTGGCGGCACGCTTACTTCGTGACACGCCTTTGGGTATGGGTTCGGAGACATCAGATTTTAGCTGCTGCTGCTGCTGCTTTGACTCCTGGCGGCGGGTGATGACGCGGGTGGAGGAGCGTGAGACGCGCTGCTTGGCTGCACTGGCGCCGCCCGAACGCCTGGCACACGGCGGCACAAACTCATCGGACTCATTGTCCGAACTCTCCGGCGACTGTTCGCTGTTGGCATCCGCTTTCACCGGATAGCCATCCTCGTTGAAGAGCTCCGAGTAGCTGACCCGCTTGGCCGGTCGCAGATAATGTGACTTGACCATCTCCTCGTACATGGAGCTGGAGTTGCGTCTATCGTTGCGGCGACACGAACGCATCGGATTCGAGCCGCTAAACTCGACGGGAGCATTGCGTGCGCGTCGCTTATTTTTGTTGCTCACTGGCGTTTGGTACAGGTCCAGGCTGTTGCTATTGTTGCTATTTGTTGTGGCACCATCATCAAAGTCCTCATCCTCGTCCTCGTCCTCGGCATCGTGGTCCTCTTTGATGGGCGCAATGTGCTTTAGCGCAAACTTGTCGTTCTTCGCGAAGTAGTCATCGTCGTTGGTCTCCTGCTCGGAACTGTTGCCGCTATCCGTCGTCTGCTGCTTCTCCTCGTAGTGCTCCTCGTAGCTCTTGCTCTTGCCGCCGCCCTGCTGCACCGGCTGCCGCTTGAGGTACTTGCACTTGGATATCATCAGGTTCTGCGCCTTGATATCGTTGTGGCAATAGCCCTTGTCATGCAGATGCTCCAGCACATTGATGACGTTTATGGCCAGCACCAGCAGAGATTTTTGCGCCACTCGCGTGTTCTTGATCAGCGAATGCAGATCCCGATCAAAGCGCGGCAGCACCAGAAACCGATAACGCCCATCCCCGAAGTAGTGTGTGCCCGAGGCTATGTAGCTCGGAATGCCCGTGGGCGGACCCTGGCTAATTGTTGGCGGCAGCTTCTCCAGGCTGCACGCCTCGTTGCCATTCGTAATCTCTGCAATAAATCGTTGGGATTGGCCATTGAAGTGAATATCTGTGTGCTATGTGCTACTTACGCTGCGTCTGATTGGTATTGATGAGACAATGTATCTCCACGAAGAGCGGCCCGTTCGAGTGTGGCTCTATTTTGACCACATATTTGGCGCTCTCCGAGCTAACCGGGCAAACAGTGTCATCCGAGGCAAGAAATATCTCGCCAAAGTTGCCCTTGCCTGCAGGGAATTGTTATCAAGATTACAAATTATATATAAATATATATATAGATAGTTGGTGTCTACCTATGGGTCGTCCGAGTCGCCAGGCCTTGGAGAGCACATCCCTTAGGATGGTGCCATTGACTACGGACGGGCGCAGTGTGTAAACCGGGCGCGGTGATTCGGTTGCATTGGAATTGTTGTGATCGCTAAAGCCGCCGCTGGCAAATGTGGCCAGGGACAGCAATGATGCACGCGAGTTGACCGGACACTGGGCACGTGGTGCTCCTGGCGGCGCTGGCTGCGGCTGTGGTGTTTGCAACAGAGCTACGTTCGCCGAGCCGGATGAGGAGGAGTCCTCGTCATCGTTTTCATGCCAATCAAAATTGTTATTGTCAGCGCTCAGGCGCTGGCACTTCTCCACCCGGGAGGCTTTAACAGCTGGACGCTTGCGTTTCCGTGTTTGTGTTTTATTCGTTTCCGTTTGATGCTGGCGTTCCGAAGCGATGCGTTTGCCCATGTTTAGCAGGCGGCACTCGATTGGAAAAACGCTCCAACTTTCAATTTCCGATGCCCAGTGGATCGGATCGGGTCAGGTCGGTCGGTTGACAGTTGTCAGTCTCAAGTTAACGCAGAGCGCATAAAGGAACGTTGAATTTGAAATTCTTGTGAGTTGTTGTTTGTTTTTGTCTGTATTCCCTTTTGTCTGTTTATACCACGCTTTCTTTACTGTTGACATTCGTGGTGGCTGTGTGGCAAGAAGAAGAGTGGCGCTGATGAGTTTATTTTCAGCTATGATTTATTTTAACTGCTTACGCCTAAACAAATGCCAAATAAATCAAACAAAACACGCGCACACACACACACACAGTACAATCCTATTGTAACTGCTGCTGATTAATTTTGCATGTTTTTTTTTTCTTTTACATTTTTTATGTTTTGCCACCACTAATTCAGGTTTCACGCTCTATTGTTTTGAATTTCGTCGTTGCGCCGGCACAATGTGAATGGAACGCTATCGGCTAAAGCGGAATGGCAAAATAATGGGCACGGGGCATATGCATACATACATACGTATATGCGTGCATGCATACGCACGCACACCAACAGCGCTTGCCTTGGTATTGGTCACAATTATGCACACACAACAAAACAAATAATTTAACAAATCTCTGATAATTCCCCGACAATTAATCACTATTGCTAAAACTGCAAAATATAATATATACGCATGGGTATATACACATATATATATTAATGCGAATTTTACACTCAGCACTCGGTGAAAAACACAAGAAATCTTGTCTGACACGAACGAGCGGCCATAGAGGAGGACAGGGAGACCGTGGCTTCCTGCTGCATGGAAGAATATTGATTTAGCTGGAGCGCCGGCACAGGCCACAACCGTTGGCTTGCAGCATTTTATTTAAACATATTAGTGCTGCAGGCCCAACTATTTAGTTTGGACACACAAATTTCTATGCCGTTTGGCTATTCGTTTGGTTAATTTCAATTGCCACTTTTCAGTATGTATTTCTTTCACGTATTACAAGTTTTCTTCTTCTTGTTTTCACGTTGTCTTTTCCCTCGAATGCAGTACAAGAAAAAATTTCCCTCAGCACGCTTTGCAGGCATGCAATTGTTGCTTACACAGTTGCGCTTGTCTGTTTAGTTACACATTTTCACTATATTTTGCAATTGAATCTATTTATTTCGATACTCAAATGATTTTCACAACAAATTACATATTCTTCGTGCACTGCTGCCCGTGCTCGGAACACTCACACACACACGCATTCAATGTGACAAGCCAATGTTTCGTTGCCATGTTGTTGCGCCATTTTGTTTCGTTTCTGGTTGTGTACAGCGCTGCCAGACTGTTCAAATTGCACTTGTGTTGTGAAACGAGCTGGCATTAAAACCGGCTGTTAATATTTGAATTTTCATTTGAATTTTTATCGTTTTTAATCACAGGTGGACATCGACCATAATCTTTTAAAAGGGAATTTATGTCGTACCAACCCACTTGTTTGCGACTTTCTCAGACAACGCCTCGGTCCATTGCGTGTTGAGGTGCTGCATGGCAGCGTGGCGGACTCGGCTGAAGAATTAAGGGACACAGATGCCGTCGTCGCATTGGAACTGTAAGTCCTCTGACTGGCATAATATTTACTACTATTATTATTACTATTAATATATTTGTTTTGCAGCATAGAGCACGTTTATGACGATGTGCTGGCTAAGATTCCTGCTAATATCTTTGGTTTTATGCAGCCCAAAATTGTAATATTCAGCACACCCAATTCGGACTTTAATATAATATTCACACGCTTCAATCCGCTGCTGCCCAATGGCTTTCGCCACTTGGATCACAAGTTTGAGTGGACACGCGAGGAGTTCAAATCCTGGTGCCTGGGCATCACCGAAAAGTATCCCAATTACATGTTCTCCTTGCTGGGCGTCGGTGAGCCGCCGCCAGGCGACGAATCCGTGGGTTATGTCTCCCAAATAGCCCTGTTTGTGCGAAAGGATATGCTGGGCATGCTACTGCCGGAGCCACTTAAAGTCCAGCCCATCCCAGACAGTGGAGGCGCAGGCTATCAGCGCCTGCATCTCGTTGATTTTCCCTTCAACAAGGACAATCGCACGCAAGAGGAGAAAATCTGGGCGGAGGTCGAAATCCAACTGTATCGCTGCACAAAAGACGAGGATTATTATGATAATGACAAATGCATGTACAAAATGTCCATTGTCCAGCTGCTTGGCAGGCTTCAGTATTTGGGCGCCACGCGCCAAATATTGGATCAATTATTGGAGCAGCATAAAAAGCCAATCGAGAATGGTTTCGTGCTCATCGAGGAGGAGGTGGAGGAGCAGGAGGAGCAGGAGCAGGATCTGTTCGAGGAGCACGAGCAAACGGCGCCAGTCTGCAGCGCAGACGAGGAAAACTGGGATACATAACTATATGAGAATAATAATAATAATAATAATATAGTATTAACTGCTGCAGCAGCACATAAATCAAATGTTCATACACTCTCTGCTGGGGGAGGATTTGTTTGTCAACTTTTCAATTTTCCCTAACGCCAGTCCGTGCCACCCCAAACCGAACCTGACCCAGCAACCACCCGGGCGAGATGTTAAAGCGCTTGATGCTTGGCTTGAATTCCTTTTTTTTTTTTTGTTGGAAGGGGGGTGACCGCCAAGATGACGAGACGCCGGCATCCGTCTAGCTGGCACCCGCACGGAAATTGCAATTGTTTGCAAAATGAGGGTGGACTTGGCGCAAACGCAGCACAACAAACACAAACACACACACAAACACACACACACACACACACACACACACACACACACACACACACACACGCACACACCGAGACACAGAGCCCATTAATACCCTGGCGTGACTCTGCTTTTGCGGTTGCCTGGCCCGAGCAAAGTTAATGGAGTCGGCGTCAGAGTCGTCAGTTGCAAGTGAATCGCGCTCCTGGCAGGCAACACAAATTGCCATAGCAGCTGTCCCGCAGCCCGCTCCGACTACCCAGCCCCCTCCCTTCCCGCACATGGTGCCTGGGACAATAACAAAAACAACAACAATTCAGATTCATTCTCATGCCAGCCATCAATCCTACCTGGACTAATACCTAACTTGAATTCTATGTCACATGTAAATCGGAATTTAACTCAATTTTTATAACATTACCAGTTACTAGCTAGCGTGTATATGTGTGTGTATGTGTGTGTGTGCGGGGTTCATCGCGTGTCCTTTATATAGCTCCGCCGTATTTAGGCAACGGAAACGTAGCACGTTCAGTTCCGTGCACTGAACATAGCCTGGTAACTTGGTAAGACTTGCTGCACCCAGCTCACCGACATGGCCGATGAAGAGGGCGCCAAGGAGGGCGACAAGAAAATCGTGCACACCTATCCGCTGGTCAAGGTTGGTGCCAACAATCTTTAGCATTAAGTAAACGCCGTATACTCTATAATTGCAATCCCTCAAAACAGCACTCGGACATGCAGGACGATATGCGCCAGGAGGTCATCGACTTGAGCGTCAGTGTGTGCGAGAAATACTCTTCAAATTATGAGGTAAGTGCAAAACTTAATGGAAAACTAGTTAACTAAGTGGAAAACTGTTTGGCTCAGCGCTCTCATGTGACAGTTCCTATAAGAGCGATATATAACAATAGTGATCCGATCCTAACTCTGATTTATTTGAGCACAAGCAAACAATTGGAGCTCTATCGTTTCAACTATTGTTGTTTATCAAGAATATATAACTCTATGATCTTCTAATTTGGTGACCTACTTTTCCGCCTTAACAAAACGACAGATCTGTTTTGTTGTCTTGAACATATTTCGATTCTGCTCGAGAATCAAACCCATAATTAACTTTGAATATTTGCCACAGCTAGCTGCCAAAACGATTAAGGAGACAATGGACAAGAAATTCGGCATCTATTGGCATGTTGTTGTCGGCGAGGGTTTTGGCTTTGAGGTATCCTATGAGACTGAGAATATACTCTATCTATTCTTTGCCGGCAACTTGGCCGTTGTGCTGTGGAAATGCTCCTGAAGCGGCGCCAACGAACAAAACAGCTAACAGACGTACCTAGAAACCGAAAACGAAACTAAAAGAAAATATAAAAATTTTTGTATTACCTATACAACATATATATCTATATATCTATATAGCATGTAGTTAATGTTATGTATTAAGTTGCGCCATGTAAAAATAGAAATAAAAAAAAAAACAAACTGAAATCGAAATGTGGAAAAGTTGTGTGTTCTTTGCCATGGCAACTGCCGTTAAGTCCACACAAAAAGAAAAAGAAAAAAAGGAAAAGGAAACTTGGTTAATGTGGGAATCAATTGAAGGCTTTTCTTTTAGTAGGACACACTCACATACAGGTTTAAAAAAATTGTTTTGTACGCACTTAACATATCGCCTTGAAGCAGAAATTGTACAGGTTTTTTTAGGCATAAACATCCTCACGATCGGCGCCGGCGCCATCGCCGCCATCCTCGAGGTTTGAGAAGAGCAGGAAATGCGATGTGCGATGCAGTTCGTGATAGAATTCCTTTGGATTGGCCAATTGCAGTTCGTATTTCATGTTCGGATCGTGTCGCACGCCCATAAAATTATAATTCCAACTGCTCTGCGCCGGCACCATGAAGAAGCCCAGGAATTTGTTGGACAACAGCATTTGGACGCGTTCATAATGAGACGGCAGATAGCCCTTGGGATTGTTGCCCTTGTCCGTATTCTTGGAGCCCCATTCAAAGCCGGAGGGCGTCAATTTGTAGGCGGTCAACGAGCAGGAGCCGGGCGTAAAGGAACAGGTGATGACAATTGTCTTTTCGCCATCCCAATTGGAGTTCTCCTGCATGATCTTGGCATGCGTGGTTATATCCTGCGGCGACAGCTGCGGCAACTCATTCGGCTGTGTGTGTATCCAGCCGAGCGGCTCCATATCCTTGAGATACTGATGCGTGGGCAGAGCATTTGGTAAATTGATCGTCTGATGTGTGCCCCACTGCGGCGGCATCACAATGCAACGTATCTCCTTCACCTGCGGATTGTCCGGCGGACTCACGCCATACAAATAGCCAGCGATCTGTGCACGCAGATCGGATATGGTCACGAACTTTTTCAGTATATTCTTGGGCAGAATGTAGGTGTAGCCCGTCTCCTTGATGTCATCGGAGCTAACATAGATGTGATTTGTGCGCAAATGCAGATTCGTTGCGGATATGGCACGCACACGCCATTCGGTCTTCGAGCTGAACGTCTGCGTCTCATAGTTGGACGTCGTCGAGGTGATAATCTCGTCGCCATGTTTGTTTGTTGTGCGCGTTGTTGTGGCCGTCAATTGATTCTGTTCCTTGGTCTGCTTCTCAATCTCGGCAATTTGTTGACGCTGAGCGGACGGTGCGCTTATCTCCATGCCCAGTATAATGTCGCGGATCTCGGACTGTGTCAGCGAAGCAACATTCACATTGTTCTTCTTGCCGTAATCGGCTAAAATGAGATCCTTTAGCTGCACCTCCACCTTGATCCATTCCTCGTCCGTTAACGTCGGCCAAATGTGATGCGCCTCCGTTATGGTCGTCTTGTCGGGCTTGAGTATGATCTTGGTGCGCTCCGTGTTGACGTGTAAGGCGCGCAGGATCAATATAAGACGACTGAACGCCGTATAGGATGATATGGTCTTTAGCCAGTCGTCGTACAGATTGAACAGCACCATTTGAGGTTCGGTGGCCTTAAGGATCAAATCACCAAACTTCTCCACCTTGAGACAGGCCTGGAAGGGCAGCTGCAGCTCCGAGCCCTTGATAACGATATTGGGAAAATCAAGCAAATGCACCTCAAGCGGATCCAACATGCCCTTGCGCGTGACAATAATCTGTTTAGGCTGCTCCTCAACGGGCAGCGAACGAATCAGCGCCGCAACTTCCTCGGCTGTCTTCCATTTGGCCAACTGACCCAAACGCTTCTGACCCGCCCACACCGAGGTGTGAATAATCTTGAGGAATAGCTGCCCGGTGCGTGGATTAAATATGAAGATGGCGCCGTTAATCGGTTTCGTTGTCAAATTACCCTCAAATGTCTTGTGAATGGTTACGCGATACACATTTGTGTCGTCCACAAACCAAATGATTTGATTCGAGAAGAGTTCACCATAGTTCTGGGAACTGAGGTACGGTTCCGTGGGCTCCGAGGAGTATAGCTGCAATGCCTTGCGTATACGCTCGCGCAGCACATAAAGCGCCGGATTGGCCTTCATGATCTTGGCCATGGCCTGTTGTATTAGCGTCTTGCAGCCAGGGAACCAATTGCCATAGGCCGAATGCAAATTGTAGGCCAAATCGATGGCAATGAGCACGCCCGTCGGCGATGGATATATGGACATATTGTCTGTGGTGTAGTCCAAGAACTTGGCCCTGGCATAACGTTCAACATCGTGCGAATCGTAGTCGCCCCAACGCAACTGTATATCCAGCCAATACTTTTGCGTCGTTGTATTGTCCATGGTGTCCTTCGTATCGGCCAGCAGCGATGGACGCGACACATTCCACTTGTAGGCGGGGAAGAGCAGAATATCCGCACAGGAGGAGTTCATTTTGTATGACTTTCGCGGATGTATGGTCTCCTTTTGCACCGTCTCAATCTCTAGGGCGTCCAGCTCCTGATCAAACACCTGACACAAATCCATCACAATGGACTCGTGTATCTTTTGCCACAAGTGAGCACGAAAGATTTGAATCAAGGAGATTTTTAGTGTGGGAATTTTGCCGTGCATGAAAATACCCGTCAGATCGAGTTGCACCTGGAAACCAACATATACATTGGCGCGATTGATTGTCGGTGACCACCAGAGCGTAAAGCGACGATTGGGTATCTGATTTAGACCGGAGCGCTGAGCATTTGTCAGCTTCTTGTACTTCATGGACTCTTCAAAGCCGGATGCCTTCTCCCAGAACAGACCCTCCCAGGTTGGGAAGTATGTGCCCTTGAATAAGGTATGCTCTAGAATGCCCTCCACGCCGCCCAATGCTTGGATCATGTCCGTGCGATAGTTATTCAGATTCCAAAGTTTGCCATCGTGTCGCTGATGTGTCCACCAGAATGGATTCTGCTTGAGCACCTGATACTGCTTGAACTCTGTGCGTATGCGCCAGCCCTTGTCATAGGCCAAGGTGTGCCGATCCTTCTGGAAGAGCGTATTGATACGCGGTATACCACGATCCCAACTGTCCTCCAGATCTTCCAGCGTAAGACGACGATTCTGCGCATTCGCCTCTTGGCGCTTCAGCGCATACTCGGCCCAAACACGCTGCGAGTCTATAAATTCACTCTCCCAAGGCTGTATATAGCGATACAGATTTGGTATAAGCTGATCCTCGTCATGCGACATGCCTGATTAAGTATTTCGTTAAAAGAAGAAACAAAGATTATGCCGTTTTGCACTTACCGGAGCGAAAATGCGTGATGCCCACATCTGTTTGCTTAGACCACCGCAAATCTGATTGTGGTATCAGGACATGACCCATGCTCAACATGCCTAAGCCGCCCAGCTCTTTGGGCGTGTAGAACACCACGGGCGGGAAACGCGAAGGCATTTTGGAGTTCAAGCCAATCTTGATACGTGTCTGTATTTTGTTTTCGCACTTGACCAGCAAATCAAGCAGCTCCTGTGTATTGACCACAGCCTCACGGAAATATGTCATCAGACCAATTAGAGCGGTGTTCCATTTGTTGACAATCTATTTAGGGCAACGATTAAATAGCATAAACAATTTCCTTCAGGCACATTTAATAGCACTCACTTTTGTGAATGTGGTGGAACCGGAGGCCATTAAAATCTGTCGCACACGATTGTGGAAACGTCCCAGAGACTCATCGTCCACTCGCAGGAAACACTGAGCTGTGCGCTCCTTGGTTATTTCATTCTGCAAATTCCAGACGCCATCGCGATGCGTGAACTCCTCGTTTTGTGTGCGGCACTGCAAAAGTTTAACAAATAAAGCAAATTATTAACTGAACTTGACGAATAGTTTGGATTTAAAGAAACCTTGGGCAAAATGCGGCACTCGAAGCCACTCATGTTGAACAGCAAATTAGGGTTATCCTTGGAATAGACCGAAACAAATGTGCTCTCCCATCCAATGGTGGTCACGGAGCGGGGCAAACGATTCTTGATATCCCAAAAGACAGCGCGACCACTGCAAGGTAAAACAAAGACAAGTCAAACGAAAGCTGGTTGGGATTAGGGTGATAGAAAAACCTACAGATTAACGTCGTGCTTCATCAGACGCATGCGCGCATCGCGTGGCCAGCACTTTTTGTTATTATAGCCCACAATATTCTCATTATTCGGATCCGGATGCTCGGTCAGATAACGCTGGATAAGATCGCGCGCCTCCTCAGCCGAAAATCTAAAGAACAAATGTATGCGATCCACATAGCGACAGTAGAGCCTTATGGGATGTGCTGTTTCCGTAACAGCATCCTGGAATGTCAGAAAATCGTTGGGCATTTGCGGTGGTCCAGCCATTTCGCTGGAGCGGTGCAGGCCCAACACTAACAGATCCAAAACAAGGCCATAGTATTGAGTTATAAAGGAGGAGAACTGGAGGCCACGTATAATGCCATAACTGTTGGTATGATTCATGTCCTTGTAGTTGATGACCACGTTGTTCTTGGCCGTCATGTAATCGGCAATGTTGTGATCCACAATGAGACGCAGCAGACGATTGAGCAGAGTCAGATCAATTTTCTCGTAGAGCTTCTCAAAGCGCGACTCGAGCAGGACATTGCATTCGCCCTCACCCACGTCCCAGACATCTTGCAGATTGTTGATGCCTGTGAAGGAACGGACGTATTAAACTAGGATTCTCCTTGGTAGTTCTCGTGGCTACTGGTTTACACATGAATCTTTATATTGCTGCTTAGATGCGACACCTTCGGCGTGAGGTTTGCAACAAGGGGATGGAATCCAAGCTCATCACTTTGCCACAAATCACACGCCCAAAATGCGCAGATATGTAAAACACTCTGGACAGGATCTGTGATCTGTGCATAATTCACGCTCCGTTACCTTGACACCACTTGTAGGCCAAGAGCGGCGGTGGTTCCGTGTCGCTGGGCTTGATCCATGGCGGAAACAGACGTCGCTTGTCTGCCTCATACCACAGATACTGATCCAAATAGGCATCTGTGATCTTCTCCAGTGGCTCCACTTCGTAGACGGGTATTAGATGGCTATACAAGTCCATGAACTCAATGCCCACCTGGTAAAAGAAGAGCAGCAATGAAAAACCTAGCTACATTCAAACAATTTAGAATAGTCTCACCTCTTTAAAGGCGCGCTGCGTCAGCAGATGACGCTTGATACGGGACAACGCCTCGTGCGGATTGTCGTAGGCCTGTTCAATCAGACCCAGTTCCTCGCGCTGACTTTGGTTCAAACGCGACTTGACACTGTATGCCTCCTTCAGACGCTCCAAGGCCAAAATCAGCAGCTTGGTGTCATGCTTGTAGGAGAGCGGCGGAAAGGGTATCGGTGCAAAACGACGCGACTCCAGCCAATGCACTGTTGTGGTGTATATAGCCACCGCCTCCTCGGGCGATATATAGGGTCCATCCTTGAGGTAGTTATGCTGTCGCTCCTGCTCCGCCTTCAAATACAGACGCGTCAAACGGCCCAAATTCTTCTTGCATACAGTCTTATCCACGGTGGCACCACGTCGTATACGCTCGCGATTGTAGTGCGCCGTGTTTGTCCACCAGTCGGCCTTCATTTTGACATAGCGCAGAATCATATTCTCTATGGGTATGGGCAGACCGGGCACCTTCCACGGTATATTGGCCTTCCAGCAGCGCCAGGCCTCCGACAAATGCTGGAGTATGGTACGCGCCTTGTTCTGCTTAATGCCCTCGGGCATCATGTCCACAATATCGTGCATGACCGAGGCACGCAGCTCCAAATCGAAATGGGACTCGACACGTTGTTTGGTCACCGTTTTGGCCACGCCCTTGGAATGACGACCCTCAAATTGACGTGACAACAAGTTGCCCAGCCAACGTTCCAGCAGTGGAGTTATGCCACGCATAAAGAACAACCAAACACGCCAGCCAGGTGCCCAGAAGCCGCAGCCCGGACCCTTGCCGACGGGTCCCGTATTGAAGCGATAGTAGATTAGATGTTTCAAGTCCTTGCACATGCGTATCTGTCGCATAAGCTTGTACTTGTAGCGATACATGCCCGTCAGTTGGCCCACATGGGCAAAGATATACTGTAGACCATCAGCTAGCTGAAAGGCATCCACATTGTTAAGGCGATACTGTACATGCGAGTCAATGATCAGTTTGGTTAGACGTAGAATCTCGCGGCACAAATGGAAAGCTGTAAAAGAGAGCAAGAGTTGAGTGATTGGGTGTGGATATAATGGTTATGGTCAGTTACCATTGCCGAAACGTGACTTTTTACGCTCCTTGGTGGTCAGCGTCTTGACCGGCTTCAAGTTGAAATTATAGTCCAAATGCAGGTAGTTTAGATTCTTACGATGAATAAGCAGATTAAGCATATTATAGCCCTGGCGACACACTTGCAAACCAGCCTCCACCCAGTCCAGTGTGGTGGTCTGGAAGAACTTGGTCGCCTTGAATGAACGGAACAAATAGCTGCAAAAAAAACATGGAAATAATTAGATATAATTATATATAACTTCTTAATCATTTGATTTCATTCATTTAATTGGTTAACCTACCGTTTCTTTTGTGGCTTCGGTTTGCGATGTTTTAGAGCATTGAGCACATAATATTTCAACAGCTTCTGATAGCTGACGCGCACCTTGACCGGGTGACCAGGTGGGCAATGCTCCTTGTACCAGCACTTGACCAGCGGCACATCTATGGCACGACGTGAGCGACCCGAACGCATATTAAACGGACGCGGTGCCCATAACAGCGCAATGCCATTGGCTGTATTATCTGTGTAGAGTGGCGTATCCTGTAGAAAAGGCTGCACGTCATCGGGCAGCGTAAAGTCCTCATCGTCTTCAGGCATAGGTTCTTGTATTTTAGAATTAGCATTGCGATGGGAGATGGGATTGATAAGTGGATCAAAGTAAAAGGCAGGCAAGTCAGGATCTTCGGTCTTGATGTAGACCACGTTGGGCGTATGGTACCTAGAGAGAAATCATTTACAGAAATTAGCAGTATTTTTAAAAAAAAGTCTAGGCTTTATCGACTAACTAATCTTAAAAACTAGATGTGTATGCAACTATCAGCAGTCCAGATTTAAGTTCCACAATCGGAACGAACATTCACATTGCAAAACCCAGGAATCAATCGCTAAATTGGTAGTAAATAGGGCCTTATTGTTTGATCTAACATGGCATGAAGCGTTACCAGAATATGCGTACAACTGGGAACTCTACGGCCATGTAAATATATCTAACTACATATAAATTCTTATAGATAAGTTCGTTTACCAGCTCAGATGCACAAAGTGCGGCATATTGTTGTACAGGTATGGAAACGCAATACGATACTCGGTGCGTATGGGCTGCCTTATAATAACCTTGTTTATATCATTGAACTCATTCCAGTCCTCGTCACTGCGTGAGAAAACAAAAGCAATTAAAACAAGCTATTAATTTATATTGCATTCGCTTACCCAACATTATGATCCTTAATAAGTGGCTCAAACTTTGGGCCACCGGGTATGGCCATATTCAGTGCTTTGGCTGTGAAGAAGCTCTTTGGATCAAATAGATAAAAGAAATTATTGTCGACCAAGTCGGTGAGCAGCTGATTGGCCAGACGGTAAAGCGTTGCCAGCTGGGGCAGGGAAAGGTTCCACTTGCGATAAGTAGAGCCATTCACAAACCTAACAGAGAGCAGGATTATAGAGGATATTGGTTTATATATATGGGTATGCTTACGGCGTGTCGACTAGTGGTCGGTGATCATAGAACCATTTGTAGACAGCATTATCTTCATCGTTGTCCAGCTCGATTTGTATGGCCTCCAGCGGCTCCACATCCAAAACGTTGTCCGCATAGTCCAGCGGCGGCTCCTCATCGTCGAATGGCGGAAAACGCATACGTTTAAAGTGGCGACGGTCGCGCTTCTCGCGACGCATCATAATCCACATGGTGCTGCAAAATATACCCTGATATTTAGCTTAAATATAAAGAGTATCTTAATTGGAACTTACCCCCACTGCGCAATGTAAACCGGCTCGATGACCCAGGGTATCTCATTGACAAAGGTAATGGCGCCCGTTATGTGATACAGCACCTGCACATCCCGTATCTGCTCCCACGGCATGGGCATGTTCTCGAGCAGCTTAAGCACTGCATGTGGCATGTATTTAAGGGCGCCCAGATAGACACGCTTGTCGTGGCGATATTTACGTGAGGTCATGTCACCATGATCGCGTATAATCTTGCGTATATGCTCTGGCGGCATGTCCTCTTTCTGTGTGTCAATAAAGCCGAATTTGCGTTTCTCGGCAAAACGTTTTGACTGCAAATGCTGCCACTTAAGCGCCTTTTCCTGCAGTTTCTCCTCGGTGAGAATATCTGGTTTTGGTGTAGGTATTTGTCCCAGCTGCGGCTGGGGCACGCCCACTGCCGGCACCGGTATGCCATTGGCGTGGCCCGACGGCGGCAATGGGGCCCCCGGTGGTGGTATTTGCTGTATCTGGTTGGCCATCTGCTGCTGCGCATGCAGCTGGGCCTGCTGTGCATGGGCCGCCGCGTACGCCTGCTGCTGGGCCATCAGCTGGGCGGCCCAGGCATTTGGCGGAATCATATACGGCGGTATAGACATCGCTCAATTGCATGCGACACTATTAATCAATAAATGGATATATATATAAAGACATACAATAAAAACAAACCACACACACGTTTCGTTTACGCCGAACAGAAAGAAGAAGATGCAAAGGCAGAAGCAGCGGCAGCGGCAGACGTTCGCTGCCGTCGCCGCGTTTTGCAATTTTCACCACAGCTCTTTTAGCGCAAACATCAAGTGCCACACACAAAATTAACTATTTAAAACATACATACAGTATACGGGTGTTAAATAGTTACCTAATCGATCAATTTCAAGCACTTTTTCGTGGATTTTAAACAATTTTCCGGTTTCTCTTGCAAAACGTTTACGATGCGGCAGACATTTTTCAGAGATGACCCGATATAATTTGCAAGCCAATATCGATAGGCGATAGAACGATTCAGCTCAAGTAAAAAAGTAATCGATATTTAAACGTTAAGCAAACGTACTTGAAATTGTTTTCAAATCATATAGTTAATATTTCAAGAAATCCCCAAGCATGTTCTAATTGTAATAATGAAATCAATAAGCTGGTCAACAACTTCAAAACGTATTTTGTGCACTGTTTACCCCACTCATTATGAACTTTTTGCACAAAGTGCGTCAGCATATTTACTTACTGACGAATGTCAGGAATTTTTGATGTCAAACGGAAAACATGTTTCAATATTGAACTATATAATTGATTAACTATAATTCTCTAATTAGCTCTGAAACAATACACACGCTGTGTGTAAGATGTTGACCCTGACACATGAATACAAATATTATGCCCTATTTCCACACGGTTAACGACTTCTCCAGATCTTCTCCAATGTTTGGCCAATCAATGATCATATGCAAAATCAATCTCCGGCATATTTTGCGCACTATATAAGATCTTGGCTAGATGGCACAGAACCACAGTTTAACAATAACCGAGCTTCTAGGCAGAGCCAAACTCAGCGAAAGGCGTTAATTTGCTAAGAAAAAAATCTATTGCGAGATTTCACAAACAATATTAACGATGGCAAAGGTACAAGAAATCAACAACAACAACAACAACAAAAATCATTCAATTACTTAACTATGCACTCATTCCAGCTCTTGATAGGCTTTATATGCCTGACAGCTCTAATTTGCATGCTGGCACCTGTAAAGGCAGCTCCGGCAGAGGTATTTAAACAATAATTCAAATATTTTCCATAAATTATTCGAATTGTGTTTTCCTTAAAGAGCTTGGACGACGACCTCTCTACGGCGGACAGCATAGGCGTTGGCTACTATGTGCCATCCTATTACAGTCCATATTACGGCAGAAGAAGCTATGGCTACGGCGGATTTGGCGGTTACGGCTACGGTGGCTACCGAGGTTACGGCAGCTACTATCGTCGCCCCATTTATCCGGTCTGGGGCTGAGCATAGGACGCGATAGAGCCTAGATAGAAGTTCATACACATACATACATATATACATACATCTTTTAGCCTTGTATAACTAACCAAATAAATAATATTTTAGCAAAGAATTTAGCCATTTTTCTCTTAGTATTATAGCTCTATGTTTTAGTTGTTGCTTAGGTACATTATGGAAAATAAATATTGTATTTTGTTTGCCTTTTCTCAAGACCCACATTTCGTCTGTCCAGTTGCTGCTCCTTTCACTCGACTACTGTGTCATCCAAAACAAGTTCAGTTCGTTTTTTTTTTTTTTGAATTTTTTACCTACACAAAATGACGTCATAAGTGCCTTTGACCCCACGACAATTAACACCGCGCCACACACAAAAAATTTAATTTTTTTTTGGAATTTTTTTTTGATCTGTTTAAGCTGTACTCGCAGCTGGAAAACCGGATTGCACGACTTTAAAAAAGCGCTTCCGAAGAAGTTTCAGCAATAAATTTTGTGGCAACGTAACATAAATTGCAAAAGGGAAATTTCGGGCCATAGACGGCGCTGAACCGGCGACCCGCGACCCGCACGAGCTCAAAGTTTGAGAGCTTTACAAAATAATAAAACAATTAAATACAATTTTGTGGCATCGAAATGTTTGCGTATTACTCTATGCAAAAAATTAAGTTAGGTTTGATTTTTTTTTTTGTTTGTTTAACTTTTGGAGGCTGTCAAGCGGCCTCTAGTGGTGCCGGCGAGCGTGTCCGTGCGGCTTGTGCGCTTGCTGCTTGTGATGATGGGCTTTTTGCTGATGGCTCTTTGAGGATTTGCCGCTCCTGGACGCCTTGTGGCGTCTGCCATTGCGATGCGACTTGGAATGATGCGGCGCCAGGGGCACATTGATGCGATGATGCTTCACATGCTCTTTGGACGCATCCTGTATGCTGTGATGCTGGCTGAGCTGCGCCAGCTGGCCGCCATGTGTTGCCACATGCTGACGCTTGTGATGCTGCCGCTGGCCCTCCTCCAGCTGCTGCGATGCCAGCACAGCGGCAATCAGGATTGTGGCAATTATGAACAACTATAAAAAGGGGAAAAAGAAATGTATTAAAACAAAATAGCTATGCAGCATTTGGAATACCCAAATGGGCTGGATTGAGCGACATAGCTGCTATCTAAGCGGATAAGATAACAATGTCGGCCCCCTTTCACGAGCCCACTCACCGATTTCAGCATGATATTTTCACGGTTTTTCAGCTTTGCCTTACGAATTCGTGTTGTATAAACGCAGACGTTCAAATGTCGACTGCTTTCGGAAACTCTTCCGCTGGTGTTTATAACGTTATCTTTTATATGGCCAGCGAGCAGCTCTCCAGCCCCTATATACACACACATATATATATATATATATATATATATATATATATGTACTTTCATATGCGTCAGTTTGTGCGCGCAGCATTTTATCGGCCATAAAGACCGAAATACAGAGTATGCTGCGGTTTATGTATTTTCTTATTAGATGTAACCCGACGGGCGCATATACAGCTCTTGGCAGGCATGGCTCAATCCTAACTAGAAATTACGTGACTTTCGGTCGAAGTCTACAAACATATTCTTGGATCATATTGATGGGTACAAATTTCTCCAGTTCTAATTTCAACGGAAGTTCCAACTGCTGAGGCACTTCATTCCAGTATAATATAATCCAGCTGTCTGCTTATCTATATACACATACATACATACATATATATATATATATAATCGGCACACTTATCTTTCATAGAACGCATTGGAATTCGATATGGCTATATGTATATATATATATTTAGTTTTCAGTGTAAAATATTATTGGATCATGAATTTGATTTTATTGCATATACTTGAAAATTATAATTATACAAAATAAGTGTAAATAAAATGTTAATTCACGATTTCTTGCTGGTGTGTGTGTGTGTACTTTTAATCTATTGAATTGAAAGTTTATTTATTGGTTTGAATATATATTCGTATATGTTTAAGTGTGTTGCTTGCTAAACGTAGTTAGTTTATTATATAAATATGTATGTATGTGTTTTGCTTTCGAATGCTTCTTTGCTTCATATTCATCGTACATAAGTATACAAAAAAGTTGAATATATATATATAAAATATTTGCTTACACAGAATATATATATGTGGGATTTACGAAAAGTGTTGGTTATAAAGAGAAATATATAATTTAAAGTTGAACAAAATTGGTTTTAGAAAACAAAATCGAAGATAATATGTAGAAAACAATGAAAATAAAAACATAAATATATAATGCAATATTTCACAAAAGAAACTTAAGATTAATACAATTTTTTTTTACTTTTTCGTAGTTTTAGTGTTTTTTTTTTTTACATTTTTTACTTTTTTTTTTGTTTTTGTTTAATTGGATTATATTGTGTGTTGTAATTTACGACAAGTTGAAAGCTTGCTCTTAACGTGGCTAACGCAATGTTGTTATTTCAATTGGGTCTTAATAGAAAAACTACAATATGGAAAAATGTTGGCGTTGACAAAGTTTAAACCGATTAGTTTAGAATTTGAAATTTGAATTTTCATTGAACACTTTTTGGGGTCAATGTGTCGATGATAATGCGGAAATACTATTCTGATTGTTATTATAATAAACGGCAAAAACTACAGATATTGATAATTGTGGTAGATAAATTTGAATATAAGTACTTAATCGGTTATTTGATTCTACAAATCGTTTGACCCTAAACTGTTGCCAACGTTTTCAATTTCCTACTCCTCGATGGTGTAAAGGAAATAGTAGTTCTCATTATCGTTGATTGCGGCTGGCGGTGCCTTTGGTGATTTTCTCGATAGCGGTTCAAATCCCATGAATAGGAATGCCTCAATTAAACGATGACAATCCGGCTGATCCTTGCGCATTACCATGACAATGCCGTCTACCTCTAACTTATCCTCGGCAAACTCCAAGAGGGATGTGAAGGTCTCCTTGGAGCCGGCTGGGGCAAAATCAGTGGGGAAAGCGACGTATAAAATGTTGTTGTTCGGGTTCAAAATCGACATCCAATTGGTAGACTGGTCTTCAGTGACGTGCAATTTGATGGAAATATGCACTGGCTGGTCATGCTGCAAGATTTGGCGCAACACCTCCTGGCAGTCATCCTCCGAGCATAACGAATGAATGTCATGCGACTCCGTGTCAGAGCATTCTGACGACGAAGACGACGAAGGTGACGATGCCCGAGAGCTGGCCTCGAACAAGCTGCCGCCAGCCGAGTCAACCGAAGACTTCCGGCTGTAGCCTGTCGAAAATGAATTAAATCACAAAAATGAATATACAAATTGAATCGAAATGTTTCGTATTTATTTACCCGTTAAGAGCGATGCCCTATCGTGATCTGTTCTGTGGTGGACAGGGACATCAGGACCACCACAGAGGCCCTACGCCGAGAGAGATGCGGTAGGACTCAGTCGACATGTTCGTGGCGCAAGACGAAGTCGAGATGGTACGGAGCTTGCCATCGGCACATCCTGCAACTCCGCTATCATTAAAATCTCTTCTAACGAAGTTACTACTAAACATTGGGTCGCTGTGAATGAAACGAAAATTAAAATACACAACCAACCGTATTAAATGTCAATACAATTCCATGATATACTGTTGTTGTCGATTTTGTAGTAGTACATGGATTTAATTAAATTTACCAAATCATTTTTAAAGGCAATTGGTGGCAAGGCACAACACAGCTTTACGGCGCAATAGCTTATGGTAAACTGACATACGCACTCTCGAAGCGTGACTATTATCAGTAATGCCGAATCAAATTAAACACATTTTTTTTATGACGCAGACTTGTTTCAGAATGTTTATAAAGATAAGAAGCCTGTTATCTGCAATAAAATCGGCAAGCGCGGCGATAGGCCGATACAACAGCTACCTGATAACGATAACAAATATCGCACAACCATGCCGGTGAAATACAACCCTGCTCGTACACAGAGTTTTTCACCACAGCATGGCGGCACAGGCAGCTGTCGCACGCACACACATACTCAATCGTGAACGTTTGCGCAAAGAAAAAACAGCGAAAATTTACGGCGTCTGTAAAATACGCGAAAAATCCTTAAATTTTTTGAAAATAAATATAAAAATACACTAAAGATGTCGATTGGTGTACCTATTAAAGTTCTGCACGAGGCCGAAGGCCACATAATCACTTGCGAGACAATCACCGGCGAAGTCTACCGCGGCAAGCTCATCGAGGCGGAGGACAACATGAATTGCCAAATGACACAAATTACGGTAACATACCGGGATGGACGCACGGCCAATCTGGAGAATGTTTATATACGCGGCTCGAAGATACGTTTCCTAATACTGCCCGACATGTTAAAGAATGCGCCGATGTTTAAAAAGCAGACCGGCAAAGGTCTTGGTGGGACAGCCGGTCGCGGAAAAGCGGCAATACTTCGAGCACAGGGTGAGTCAGGCATTCTGAGTGTATATATATTGCCTCATGTATTAACGCGTCACGTTTTTCGACTACAGCTCGCGGTCGAGGCAGAGGAACTGGTCCTGCTGGCGGCGGTCGAGGCGGTGGTGGACCACCAGGTGCACCCGGTGGCGGCGGACGCGGCGCCTGGCAAGGCGGTCCTACAGGCGGACGTGGACGCGGCGGCTTGTAAGAGGCAAGAACGGGAGCACATTCTACTATATAATTTAAGGGAAATTAATCTTAGCGGGCGGGTCGCAAAACTAACATGTTGGAAATCTTATTATTTGTCAAGAAAACCAGACGGAGAATATGAAAATTGAATTTCAAAATGTGACCACTCGTCTTTATTTTGTTGCCTAGAGAAGAAGAAGGAAACCAACACCAATTATGTGGACAAACAAATATATAGATAAGATATTATATATGTATAAGTCGTCGCTTTTCGAATATTATACAAAGAGAGCAATTCCATGACAGTATTACAATCTGTATAGCTTGACTGTCGACGGATAGCTCTCTTCATTTCGCTATTCGCAAGTTTGGTTAGCTTGATAAAGCCAAAGGACAAAGGACATTTTCAGACAGAAAACAGGTTATATGGTGTTAGATTCGGTTAGTTTGGGCAACGTCGAATATCATACAAAGAGAGCAATTCCATGACAGTATTACATTTGTTACTGGACTGTCGACGGACAGCTCTCTTTATTCACTTATTCGCTTTTCGGTAAGATTTGGTGGTTATTCAACATTTAGTTCAGCGGGGACAGCACACAAACATTGAGGAAGAAGTAAGAATGTTGGAGCCGGAAATAACCGACTGCACAATACCCTGTTTACAGTTGAACAGCCGGATAAGTCAGGCGAGAATTTGCTAGTGGGCCGACTAATACATTAACTACAAAGCTTCTAGCTTCAAAACTATGTACGGACAGACGATCAGCAAGGCGTTCAGAAAATCAATATACTCTCCTTTACGTAGGGTACAGAACACACAAATATAATATACTCAAGCTTTTGTTGGGCCGGCACAGACAGAAATATGTGAATATATCTGTATATTGATGCCAATTAAACAACAAACTGCGCACTTGGCAAAGCGTTTCAAATTGAGAGCGTTTCGTAGGCGTTCGCTCCGAGTATAGAAACCCCTGGCAGGAGAAGAGGGGGGCGCAGTGTGGCAGCGCGAGCCATGTTAATTTAATGAGTGCAATTCAACCCCCACCCCTTCCCCCAGAATTTCAATCGACGGCACGTGCATGCGCGCAAGTGCAGTTAAATGACTTTCAATTAAGCAGGAAATATGCAATATGTTAACCACCTACCCGAACTGATCCTCTGATATGGGAGACTCTGGCTGTTGTTGCCGCAGCTGCGATTGCATGTTAGCCAATGCCGTCTCACTCACTTTTATTACAAGTATATAAATATATATGTATATATATATGTGTGTGTATATGTATTTATCACAGTTACGTTTATGTTATGCCTAGCTGTATGTCTCTTTTGTGCTAATTCCGTTATCACAGTTCTGTTTACACTCAGACAAGATTCTAGAAGTTTACATCGAAAAGGCTTGCGAAAGGTATTTGCCTCTCTTCCGCTCTCTTTGTGTGTTTGTTTTGTTTACAACAATAAAGATTTGTGCTTGTATTTGATTTTGTTTAACCGTTTGCCGAAGCGCAGCGTTTAGCGTTTGCCAGCCAACTGACGGCATCCCAATGGCGGTGGCATCATTTATTTCAAAAAAATTTAGTTGCTCCCCCTACACACACACACACGCACACACACACATACATACATACGTGAGTGCATGCTGTGTATGTGTGTATGCTACTACTACTTAGTTGGGGTTATAGGCACTATGCGGCGGCGCCAGAATAGAAACAAATAAACGGGTACAGTTTAGCTTTGAAAGAACAACCGCCTTTGGGCTTGTTTTTAGAAATCTTGTTTCGAAGGTTAAACATTGCCCCTACAAATGTCCCGCTCGCGGGCCCAATAGTTTTTGCGGTTGGCGAAAGAGTAAAAGCAAACAAGTGGCAAAAGGTAGCAAGAAGAAGAAAAACGAAAGAAAAACTAATTACATTTGCATTGCTGATGCCACCTTATGTCTATGCAAACATGCATATATACCCGCACATAGATATTGGAAAACAGTACTATGAAATAGTTGTAGCTGTTTTTATCTTTTTGCATTGCTTTGTTTACCAGACAAATTGAATTATGTGCCACGAAAAATACGCTATTTTTATAAAAACATATATTTGTAATGTGTTTTTGTCGTGCTCTAAACTCATGAATAATAAATGCGATCGGCACGTGCGCCACATGAAAAAAAAAAAACAAAATAGCAAAACTATAAATAGCCAAAAGAAAAGAAAAAAAAAGCGATAACGATAAAACGCACAGCCAATCGATGAATGTCTGACTTGCTGTCTACGGTGTCGTTCACATGTATGTATGTATGTAAATGCATGTGTATTTGTACAATACAAGTGGTCTCACAAACACACGCATATGCAAATACATACATGTTTCAAAGGCCATCGGGTGATTTCTATGGAAATACAGCTATTATAAGCGTAAATTCTTGGATAAGTATGCGAATCGGCTCACGTTTTACACCACGCATTGAAATTCGCATATATATTCATACATATGACAGCATCAGACAGACGTGATACAAAACAACAGGGAGACTACAGTTAATTACTTCTTATGCACCTTTTGCTTTAGCCCACAATCTAGGTACTGACAATTGGTTGTATAAACTATGTACATATCTACATACAAGTACGTAACTGCAAATGGGTCGCTTGGGTAAACATGTCAAATGGATGAAAACTGCTGCATAAAGCTGTCTGTAAATATGCTTAAACGTTAGATAGAATGCTGGCTCAAAGCAAACAAGTACCGCAATAAGAAGCAATAAAACACATATGCAAAGACACCATTTGAGAGATTTAAAACAAAAACAGTCAACAAATAAACACAGTCATTCCCTTTTTATTATTATTACTGTAGCAATGACAAAAGCGGGCAGCGATAAGTTGGTTGACAGCTTTATGATGCTTATCAAGTTGATAAGATAACACGAAAACGTGTAAAGTGGCAGAAATGCAGCCTCCTTCAATTTTGTGACCTTCTAATTAAACAGGTTCTAGCATATTTTCTATTGAAAGCTTTTCGATTGACCCAATATTGTGTTGTTCTGGCAACTCTTGCAACGCATACAAACGCGCGCATATACATGTACACATACACTCACAACCATTAACGACGCTTACTTGCCACACAGCTGAGTTGCATGGCGAGTGGAATTTTCCATTGTTTGTCAATACATGAATTGCCCGTTTGCTTGGTTGTGTGTGGGAATGTGTATGTGTGTTTTGTTTGTGACGTAAGGTAGGCGCACAGTGGCTACGGCTGGACCAAAAACCGCGCCACGAAGAGGCAAAGTTGCACTCTACGGAAGAAGCTTCCAGCCGGATGACAAACAACAACAACAACAATGGGTAAATATAAGTACGCAGCAAAAAAAAACCGGTCGCAGTTTCACTCTGCTTGGTCTTATTAGATATTTCCTAGCTCTACTGCAACTGAGAAACAGCTCTTTACAAAGTCATAAGGGTCGAAATTTTTTTTATTATTATTTTTGTTGTTTATTTTGGCAGCGAGATAACATGCCAGAGTGCAAACAATGCTGACGAGGCTGCTCGTCGGATACGGACACTCAGATAAGGGCGACCAATAAAAGTCAAAATGTTTACCGCGTAATAACTGTAATTTCTAGCAAAAACTCCGTTTGTTTTCTCGCAGCCGTCTAGAAAGTTCCAGTCGGCGCATACAATACAGTTGCATTGTAAGACAAGTGCAAGCAGCACACTGCATAAACGGCACTTGTCAAAAGTCAAGAGAATCAAGTAAATTAAAAGCGAATTACAGTAAAAGTAAGCAACTCATACGAAAATACACACACAAGCAAAGTTGTCATATACATATATATGTTAAAAATATAAAATTAGAAGGGTATTAAAACGGTTAATTTGTAGTTGTGTGTGCACGCAACGAGGTTGCCAGATTGCTTAAAGCATGTCAATAAAACAATTAAAGTTGCCTTTAACTGCTTTGCTCACAATTTTAGCAATCATGCTTTAATTGATGCGCGCATGAACAGCCAATAAACATTTATCAGCGTTCCTTTTCTCTTATATATTATTCGTCTCCATTTCAGTTGTGTCTTGGGGTGAGAGCCACATACAGGCGCACAAGATGGCTGCTACGAAGAGAAAAACAAAATAAAATACGCAAAATAAAGTAAAACAATTACATTTCAAAAAAACGAACATCCATGGAATATATTTTTTGAAATCAATTATTTACTTTACCAACGGACCATTTTTGCACTTATCTCATTTCTTTTTTGGTTATGTGGACTCTCGCACACACACACATACATCTGCACACAACTACATATGTTTTTACGGATGTATGCGCATATGTGTGTACGTATGTATGTTTGCATATACCTCGTACATGCTTTAATATTACAGTTACACCACCACCGATCCGAAATTTGTTAGCTAATTACACTAAAAACTATTGCACTATAAGAAACTTGCTATGTATGTATTGGCAACCAACAAACTACATAATATATATGCCACCAATTGGATTGGAACCGTACACTTTATTCCATTTCCTTTTTTGTTATCATTCACTACAAAATCGATTTTTGCACTATTTCTTTGTATGGCACCTTGGAACCATTACTTACAGTTTATTATTCATGTTTGATGGCATTTTTACACTTAATGGTTGCAACTTAACGCACAAAGAAACAAAAATTTGGTTTATTGGTGAATAATTTGCTCTGGCTTAACGAGAAGCGTTTGCGAAATCTGCACTTGCGATCTGATTAGTTTGACTGCTGAATTCTATATGCAATAAACGGAACCCAAACCAATACACGAAACCTACGATTTATACGATTGTTTCCAGGGACGATAGTTACGTATTAAACACTCGATGAATTGACTAGCGTTTTCACCTCCATCGGATATCGATAAGACTTAAGCGAATTTTTAATGCTTGAGCGACAAAAGTTCATAATCAAAGTAGTTTCTTATTTAAGGATTTATAAAAATATTTTTCTATTGCTTAGTCTAATTTGGTTTTCGTCAGGTCCAATAGATTAATAAAGTAAGCATCCATCTGTTCAGTGAGAACGTTTTGTTTTTTGTATCGATATCGTGCTTTTGCAGTAGTCGATAGCGATTGTATACTTAGTGCAGCATTGCCCGTCAATTTTGTGCGTTTTGATTTAGGGGAAAGAAAATTTAATCTGTGAAATACACCTAAATCCGTGTTCCTTTTAACTAAAAAATCATGAGCGCCTTTCCAGGAACGTTCGCGTTTGACGAATATGGCCGGCCTTTCATTATTTTGCGCGACCAGGAGCAGCAAAAGCGCATCACAGGCACAGATGCCATCAAGGTAAATAAAAGTTGTAATTATTTTAAGGTTTTTAAAAGGATATTGACAAACTGTAGTTGTCAATATCGGGTTTTAGGACACTCAAAGATATTATAGCTCAAATAAAGCTTCTAGACATCGCAAACAATGACGCATCGTATGCCGAACGTTCCAGATGTTCTTTGCTGCCGGCATTTTTCATGGGTAAAATGAAACCTGAATGCATTATGGGCAAGCGATCAGATTATATGATGTAAATTTACCTTATTGCGGCAGCATGCAATTTCTTACAATTTAATATAGAAATGCAAACATTTGTCTCACAATTTGTGACGTCACGTTCATTTTGAGGTTAAAACGCCGCACAGATGTTCCCTGTGCGCCGGCTGAGTCACGCGCTTGAAAATTACCATGTAATTTATAACATGTTCCTTTTGTTTGCAGACGCACATTATGGCGGCGCGCCAGATTGCCTCAACGCTGAAGACATCGCTGGGACCAAAAGGTCTGGACAAGATAATGGTCAGTCCCGATGGCGATGTGACGGTGACCAATGATGGTGCCACCATTATGAAGCTAATGGAGGTGGAGCATGAGATCGCCAAACTGATGGTGCAACTGTCGCAGTCGCAGGACGATGAAATTGGCGATGGCACCACCGGTGTGGTTGTTCTGGCTGGCGCTTTGCTCGAGCAGGCGGAGGGTTTGATCGATCGCGGTATTCATCCCATACGTATTGCTGATGGCTTCGAGCTGGCCGCACAGTGCGCCATCAAGCAGCTAGACGCTATTGCTGAACCGTTTCCCGTCGATCCCAAAAACAAGGAGCCGCTCATTCAGATCGCCATGACAACGCTGGGCAGTAAGATTGTGAATAAGTGTCATCGTCAGATGGCTGAAATGGCTGTCGATGCGGTGCTTAATGTGGCAGACATTGAAAAGAAGGATGTCAACTTTGAACTCATCAAAATTGAGACCAAGGTGGGCGGACGCATGGAGGACTCCATGCTGGTCAAGGGCGTCATTGTGGACAAGACCTTGAGCCATTCGCAAATGCCCAAGGAGCTGAAAAATGTCAAGCTAGCCATACTCACCTGCCCATTTGAGCCGCCGAAGCCCAAGACCAAGCATAAGCTCGATGTTACCTCCGCGGAGGATTACAGGGCGCTGCGCGAATACGAGCAGGAGAAGTTTAAGCTTATGGTCAAGCAGGTGAAGGATGCTGGCGCCACTTTGGCCATTTGCCAGTGGGGCTTCGACGATGAGGCCAACCATTTGCTGCTGCAGCAGGAGTTGCCCGCTGTGCGCTGGGTGGGTGGTCCAGAGATTGAGCTGATTGCCATTGCAACTGGTGGTCGCATTGTGCCACGTTTCGAGGAGCTGACACCCGAGAAACTGGGCTCCGCTGGCCTGGTCCGTGAGATGGGTAGGTTATGGAAAATTTCCCACTGAAACGTTCTAATTTCATGCAATTCTTTTGCAGCTTTTGGCACGTCTAAGGACAAAATGCTGGTCATCGAGGAATGCAAGAACTCCAAGGCTGTCACAATTTTCTTGCGCGGTGGCAATGCCATGATCATTGCTGAGGCCAAGCGTTCCATACACGATGCCATCTGTGTGGTGCGCTCGCTGGTAAAGGATTCGCGTATTGTTTATGGTGGCGGTGCTGCCGAAATCAGCTGCTCCCTGGCTGTGGCCAAGGAGGCCGATCAGCTATCTACACTGGAACAATATGCATTCCGCGCCTTTTCTGTCGCCCTAGAGAGCATACCTCTGGCTCTGGCGGAGAACAGCGGTCTGCATCCGGTTGAAACACTGTCGGAGCTTAAGGCCAGTCAGGTGGCTGAGAAGATGCCCAGTCTGGGCGTTGATTGCATGTTGACTGGCGATTCGGACATGAAGAATCACAATGTTGTCGAGTCTCTGCACTCGAAAAAGCAACAGATTCTATTGTCCACACAGCTGGTCAAGATGATACTCAAGATCGATGATGTGCGCTCCAACAACAGCGGCATGTAGAGGAGTCATCCCAAACACACACATCAGAACTCACACGCATATACACACACAACAAACAAACACACACACAAACACCACTTAGCTTTGCTTTGCTCTCGCTGCTTCATACACACGATATAAATATATATATTTGTATAACTCTGTATTAATTGTTTACTTTTATTAATCAACACACTTCTTTGGAAAAGAAACAAAAATCAAGAACAACTAAAATACAATTAACTAAAGATTCAACAAAACTTGTTTTAACTGTTTAAATTTTTAAACGAACGGCACCGGGTAGCCGTCCGTCGGTAGACGTAGACAATGTTTTAGCTGTGTGTTAGCCAATCTAGCAAGAGGGCATGGTCTTGAATATGTCTGTATTTCAGTGCCTATATCATATAGCTGCCATAGGAACAATCGGACAAAAATTTAGTTGTTGTATGGAAAACTTATTTGTTTTTCAACATATCTTGACCAAACTCGGCATTTCTTAGGTGTACTATGTTCCCTACATATATCTTATCAACATCGAACCACTATATGTATATAGCTGCCATAGGAACGATCGGTCGAAAAGTAATTTATTATTTAGCAACATATTCTGTTTTCCAAGTTTTTGTCAGCACTTACAAGCTTCACATATCTACAAAAGGGTATTGAATCTTCGGCGTGCCGTAGAAATTCTTACTTCTCGTTTTCTTTTTCTTTTAAATTTCTATAAATCTTTAACTTTTTGCAATTTGGGCTGTAATTCGTGCCCGCATAACATTTTTGGCACCTAAATTTTCTAAAATATCTTTAGAATCCAGTCTTTGTTGCTCCCGCTCTGTTTAAAGTATTTAAAGCCCATCTCGTACTAGCTAGCAACAATTCCGGACCATTAGCTAATGAGAGTTTGAACAACGGGTTGTCTTTTTGTGATTGCAGTAACGCTGAGAGCCTTACCACATATCTCAGATACACACAAAGGAAAATCACCTTTGTGGAATTTAATTAATAGTGGATAAAAAAGAACATTTCAGCTTGCTCCATTGAACAGTCACTTACGCAGTCGATGGCGATGCCAATGGCGATGTCGATGTCGAGGAATGCATTTCAATTTAACCTGGCCCACACAAATGCTGCTGCTGCTGCTGCTGCTGCTCCAAAAGCTGGTGAGTTAATCAAGGCATCGGTAATTTCCAGAAGAGTGTGAAGTGTTGACCGAGACTCAATGGAGTGTGTTAAATGCGCTGTGCACACAGCTGGCCACCGACCAGTTCGCTAGCCACTCCATCAAACCCACAATGAATTGCGCACAATCTTTTGGCACTGGCCGAATGTGGCTGTGTGATTGGGGAGGAAAGAACACTGAGGAATCCCCAGGACTACGATGCATTGGCTTTGGCTCCGTTAAGTGTTTTACAATGCTCTCAGCAAAGCGCACATCATTCATGTCCAACGCAGGCTGGCAATATTTACCCAAGGCCAAGCTAGGCTCGGCTCATGTCGACCACGTAGCCCATCTCAATGGACTACAGCCATAAACGCATATATGTTCGAGTTCATATATGTGTATTTGTGTGCGAGCATCTGGGAGTGTGTCAGTACATCTGACAGTCTTGCCATTGGCAGTCTCTCAATGCATATGAATCAAGTAGAGGTAATTGAAAATCAAAGCCGGTAAAAATCTAACTAGGTTTTTTTTTTCTCCAGTCAAGAAATCAGCAATCCGATTTTCCGCTCTTAGCACATTTGCACAGTAGTCGACTATATGACATTGCCTTACACTTTTGAAGAGTGTGTAAAGTGAGCGATTTGACATAAATGATGCAAACTAATCTCTCTGAGTTTTTGCAATAATGGATAAGACTACATACAGCTGCTTCGACTGAATTATACTTGTGCTCAGTTCTGATTCTTATTAATAAATAATTAAACACATATATGTGGAATTATGTACTTACCCCAGAGGTTCACGTACACATGGACGATTAGGAAGCCACAGACATGACTGAAAGCACAAAAGATGGTAGATAGCTGGTTAGAGTAAAAGTAGGAGAAGGAAAGCAAATAGAATGAGCTAAAGTGAAAGGGAAAGCTTGCAAAGGGAGTTATAGCCCGAGTACGAGTAGAGATAAAGCTTATTAGATTGCCAACATAAGTTGTTAGTATAACACTTATGGGGAAAGCATAATGAGAAATGCATAGTATTTTCCATTTACGGAGCACCAGACTGTGAAGCTAGTCTGCATTTGGTATAAGAGTACAGATTTAGAAGCACATATAGATGTTTATATGCATTTACAAATTGATCTAGGGACTAAACCATGAACATAGAGCCAAATCTCGTGCATATCGGATGAGATTTGACCGAGTTATGGGGTGGGAAATTTTGATACACATAAACATACAAACGTTTATACATACATATGTAAACATACACACATGCATACATTCATACATACATACATACACATTCGTACATACAAGTAAAAAGTTTATTAATTTACCAACACAACTTGTTAATTTAACACTTCGCTAACTTTCAAAGCAATGCAATCTGCAGAGCCTACTTGACTTCATGAGAATCGCGTAGTAGGGCACTGTCTAAAAATACATTTTATTTAATTTACAGCGCAGCGGAAAGTCAACTTCATTTGCGTTTGGTATAATAACAAATACACACATATAAACACAAATAATTTGAAAACTCTCGAAAGATAATAAAGTTTACGTCCAAACCGCCTGAGCTCGAAAGTTTCCGCCCCGCGGGTGGGTCCTGGCTCTTATGGGCTAAGTCACCAATCAGTTAGTCAGTCAATCGGAACTTACATTTTACGAATCGTGTATGGTTTAAGTATTTAAATGAAACATATTCGTTACTTATCAAATGTTCTATTGTTTCGGCAAGGACTCGAATTAGTCCACTTAATAGCCAGATATAGTTTACAGCCTGCTGTGAATAACTTGCGTCAAATTAGACAATCGGCCTTGAGGTGCAACTGCGAGTGGGGCAGTCAGGTATTGTGGCAGCTGGTGCAGGAAGTGCGGCGACTGCTTCCAAGTGTCAAAACATGGCCGATGACACACATCCGGACACACGGATTGGGTGGCTAAGTGATGCTATTGTGCACTGTGCACCACCCACTTGCATAACCATCCGGACTGTGACACTTAACAAACAATTAAGTTGCTGACCCCCCCGACACACGCAGAGAGCGGTTGGAAGCAGGTGAGCAAAGGTGGGCGCATTTTTGTATAAAATGCACAACAATGCATTCTCCTTCAATGTGGGCGTGGGTATTTTTCATAATTAATCCAACGAATGCCGGTGGCATTTCCGAGCGCTGCGTTGGGCCGCTGGCTCGGAAAAACGTTCTGGCATTTCAAGACAATTTGCAAAATTGCAATGCTTGTTGCTCTGCGTTTGTGTTTGTTTCTTTTTGCACGTGCTTTTCCGCGTGCTTTTCGGTGCCAAACGACCGACCGCCCTTGTGGGCCCTAAACAAAATGTAGGGCCAAACTGCAATTGTTTTGCAGCAGCTGCGGAAGAAGTCGCCGGCACAGAAATCTCTGTGCAAAAGACGAGAGGTGTGTGGAGCACTTGGAGTGCGCCTTGGGCCGGCTGCCCGCCTAATCCGCTTTGGTATGTTTGGGGCGCGGCTTGCTGTCAAATTTGCAGGCAACTCTTGGGCTGATGCCGCCGCCCGATGGCCATAAAAAGTTTTTGACGCGCGGCATGTTCAGGCACAGGCAGCACAAGTTTCCCATTGTGGGAGAAACTTTAATCCCGCTTAAATTATAAATGGCACATTTGGCTTCTATCTCTCCACCATAGGGCTGTAGACCGGGCCATGCGGCATGTGGCAAGAGAATAAGGCCGTCAGGCTTTGGCAACGCTCGAGTGCTTGACAACTTTATGTGTGTTGTCGCTGGCTTGCCACAGTGGCAAACACACAAACCAACAAAATACAAAACACTTTGTTGCCTTTATTTTTGAGTGCTGTGCCGCAAGAAATGCACTGCCCTAAACGAAACTTTACGAGCTGGGGCGGGCTTCCACTCTGCCAAAGCCAAACTTGCAACACGGAATCGTCTGGCCGCATCTTGCGATGACTTTCTAGCAGCAGCAAATTATATCTATATGTATGTACATTTATCATCTATGGATGTGATGAATTATGACTTTTCTTCATTTCATTCTGCAGTGCAGGAAATCAATTAAAACTTTGCGCCTGGCACAGGCAATGCTGATGCTCAGGTCATGTTTCATGTTCCATTCAACGCCCGGCCCAGCGTGTTTGACATGACGAGCATGATGTGATACCGTGACAGTTAAAGGTAATTAAACAGTTTGTAAAGCACAATTAATGACACACTCTGCTCAGAGCCCGGAGCCGCACGAGAGTTGACATCGAGTACAACATGAACCATATTAATATGCATAACAGGAGTACTCCAATTGACCGAACCCGAATCAAGCTGCGCTGACTATGGCACAATTTTTAGAACATACAGCCACAAAATATCAAACAGTTTATTATTAAATTGTTGGCATACGAACTAGGCTAATGATTGGTTGGAAGTAACAATTTGCTGAGAGCTTGACAAAGGACTTATAATAAACTATTTACTTATAGATATACTCTATACCTACATTCACCTGTTCAACAAGTTAGAAACATTTCAGAGCTTAAATAACAAATGCTTAGATCATTATAATTCATCATCCTATCAAACATAATGTGGCCTTTATTGTTGATATTCCTGTATGCCTATAAGTCTATAAATCCCAATAATCTATAAGCCTATCAGATGTATATATATATATATGTTTGTTTTATATAGTGAACATGTTTGAAATAATATAAATGTCTTTCATTTCAATACATCTGCAAAATATGTTTGTTAACTAGCAAAATGTTATAAATATAACATATGTAAAATATGTACGTAAATGATCAAGCTGCAGGACACTTAGCATGACATGTCAGTGAGTTTGTCTACAAACGTTTTTTATCAGACCTTTAATGCACTATAAATATATAAATTATATATATTATTAAAAAATTGTTGCATGTGATCAAAAGTGAACTGACGCAATGAGCTGTAAGTATGTATTTAAATATTTAGCCTGCAGGACACTTGGCAGGACATGTCAGCGAGCTTGTCTACAAAACCTTTTTATTAAGAGATTCATCAATGGAAAAATAGTTTTGCTAGATTTTCTCTGCTTTGAAATATTAAAAACAATTGACAAAGAATTTTGACTTCCAAAGACACCTAGAAAATAGCTTTTGCTTAAATCCTTAAATCCAACTTTCTTTAGCTTTACATATATTTATTTTGATAACACTTGGGTCGACTATAGGTATATAAGATCTGAAATAAATCTGGGTGTGGTACTCCTATATACAACAGATTTGTTGTGTGTACTTCATATGAATCTATAATCTTATGAAGAAGTGAGGCATATTTCCTTTTGGATTATGGTATATTCGAACTCTCCTAGAGCATATAAGTATATTGCCAATATGTACTTCAATATGTATGCGCTCTATAAACTTATGATTTTTTACGCCGGTTGGTCGCAACATTTTCTGTGGTAATAATACGCCTTGGGCGCGAGTTTATTACGTTCCATAACTTGACCAAATTAAGCTGTTGGCACTTGTTTAGCTCAGTTTTTCTTTTTAAACCTCGTAAAGTATTTTGGGGGCAGTGCAGCCCCTGGGCCAAAATTTTAATTAGAGCGCGCCACGCAAACAGGCTAACAGCTCTTCACTCACACTCGCCCATCTATCGCCATCCAGGAGCTCCGGCTGTGGCTACGGCAACAGCTAAGGAGCCGGAGTATACGATACTTTACGGTCTCCATTTCAGCACACACAATGTTTATGTTTGTTTGTCATACATAGTAGAGTCCCTGGTGCATTGAACGGTATCCAAATAGGGCCCCCAGCGTATTGTGCTGGACGCTGTCCGAATATGTGGACCCAGAGTATACACATGGCAGCCGGATAACGAGCGTGAGCCAGCGCAAATTTTCGGACAGCCGTTGTGGCCACAGCTTCACGGCTGATTGTTTTTCATACTTTTTTCAACTTTTTTTTCTTTTCTTTTTTGTCCAATATACTCGTACCTTTGCAAACTGTTATGCAAATTTGGTTTGCCTGTGGCTCTGTCCAAATAGCTCGCTGAAGCTAAACTTAAACTGCTTGTGCACAAAAAACTAAACACAAACGACTTTTTCAATTGCAGCAATCCATACTTGGAAATTCAATACGCAGTGCCATATTTTAGGTATACAATATAGGAATATGGGATAGGAATGAAGGCAGAATCAAATGATGAAGACTTCTTAAGAGCAGCTCGCAGTTCTAGATTCCTGGGGCATTAAAGGACTGAAATGTCTGTCTTCCATGGAATTAATATAATATAGAAGAGTTGACAAAACCTAAATTAAAATTTCTATCTATCAAACCAGTTCGAGCTGGGAATCTCTTTTTACTGAACTTAACTAATTTAAACAAAGTTTAAAAAATGGTTTGGTTCAAAATAAAAATCTTTTGAGGGAGACTCATCTCCAGATATCTCCTTTATCTAACCCACGCCAATATTAGCATATAAATATATTGTTTTGGATCTTACCATATTTATTGGATGATCTTATTTGATAAAAATTAAATTTAGTCAGCAAATATTATAAAATTATAAGGCAGACCAAACTCCAAGCCAAAATCTGGACTTAAGCATGTTGACAAACCAGGTTGACGAATCGAAATTTAAAGCAGGAAACCGGTTCGATTCGTTAATAATATAGTTGATATACAAGCCTAATTATAACCAATATCACAGAGAAGATAATATAACTTAGCCCAATTATAACCAATATCTCAGAGAAGATAATGTAATTATGTCTCAGAGCAGAAGATATAACACAGTCTAATTATGACTGATATCCCACAAATGATATAACCAAGCTTAATTATAATCAATTAATTAGAGAAGATCATATAACTTAGCCTAGTTAAAACCGATATCTCAGAGAAGATGCTATAACTAAGTCTAATTATAGTCGATATCTTAAAGAAGATGCTATAACTAAGCCAAATTATAGCGAATATCTCAAAGATGATATAACAAAGCATATCCATCGTAATGACCAATTCCGCCAAGTCAAGCATTATCATGTAACTCGAGATTAATGCATTACAGAAACACAATCTGTTCCCAGTATTAAAAGGAGAGAGTAGAGAAGAGATTCGTATGGGATTTGGTGCGCAGACGCGCTCAAACGGAACTCAGCATCCACAAGAGCAGGAGCAGACGAGTCTCGTGCTTGGACCAGTTCGTCGCCGAGCTGGCCGCTGTCGTATCAGTTGCGCGCTGGACTCTTGACGGAACGGTTCATCAACACGGGATTACTCGGCCAGTGGGATGTGCTCTGCTACTGGAAACGCTGGGACGCTACTGTAGCTGCTCCTAGTCAGGCCCACTTCCAGCTGCAGTTCAGTTCGGTTCGTTGTTCAGGTGTTTGGCGGCAAGCTGCCCATTTTGACGCGTTGCAGAGACAAATTGTTTATATTGTGTCAAGTTCTGGGAACACACACACACACACACACACACACACACATTGCCGTGCCCAGGAGCTAAGCCGATGTCCTGCTCCTCACACATTCCCACGCCTAACTGCTGCTAGGCGGTGAAAGTTGTCGCTGGCGGTTCTATTGTGGGTGCCGTGTGGCGCCGTCTGCGGAGTACTTAGCCAAACAGTTGGCAAATCGCCGTCGCCATCGTCGCCATCGTCGCCATCGTCTCCGTCGTCGCTTTACGTATTTGTTGTCGCGCGTTTTTTGCTCTCGTGCGGTGCTCCCCAATCGGATGACATTATCTGAGGCCCGCGGGATATATTTGCAGTGTTGTTGTTGTTGTTTTCTTTGTTGTTTTACTCAGTCAGACTTAAATTAAAAGCGAACAAAGTCTTCGCACCTCGGGCACCCAGTCCACCCACAACAGCCCGGACAATTTAACCATCTCCTACGGCTGCCTCTCCCTCCCCCGGAGCATGCATCTTTAATCAGCCCTGATGAATTTGGTGAATGTGCAAATGTTTGCAGCGAATGAATAAGGCATTAAATAAGCACTTCCAGGCACTTGTCAACGCAAAGTGAAAATTCAAGTGACTCGTGAAAATATTCAGTTAAATGTTTTACAATTAAATCGAATAACTCAAGCGGATTACCCCTACGACCACAAAACTTTCTACAAATTCAAATAGAATAATAATCAAATTTTATTGCACTTTGGTAAGCAATATATGTTAATACTTTTCAATAATTGAACTTAATGAAATGCCATGAATATGTCTTAATCTGCACTTAATATTTGAAAATGTTGCCTCTTTGTGCATTCGAAAATAACAAATTGCTTGAAGAGAAACTGTCTTTAGTTTATGATTTATTTATTATTGCAGAGGCATGTTTTTAATTCTGTTATGAAAGGTGCTGTTAAAAATGGGATATAAGCTATATATATATATATATATATATATTTTTTTTTTTTGCATACTTGTCAATCAGCTTTGGCTAGCATTATATGGAAGTTGTTTAGCTGTGATAGCAAAAATCTGCAAAACTGCAAACTAACAGCAGCAAAAGGAAGCTCTTTAATCGAATAGAATTGCTTTATTGACAATAATATCTCGGTCTATTTAACCATATTTTATGTTATTTTATACCTAACGCAGCTCAAGTTTATTTCAAATTAAATCCTTTATTGTTCTGAAATCGATATATATATATATATATAGATTTATAGTCTGGACTTTTACAGCTTATATATCTCTCATAGTAACAAAGTAACAATAGCAAAGGGAAGCTCTTTAATCCAATATAGAATGCATTTATTGTTTAATTGGTTTGTTAGTAACAATTGCCCAGTCAAAATATATATACATTTATCAAATCCGTAGTTTGTGTTATTTTGTACCTAATGCAGCATAGATTTATTTCAAATAAACTCCTATATTGTCGCGAAATCGATAAATATCGATTTGTAGTCTGGGCTTTTACAGCTTGTTGCTGTCATAGGAAGAATTTGTAGAAGACATACTAACAGCTCTATAATCCAATATAGAATGCATTTATTGCTTTATTGGATTATCAGTAAAAATTATTCAGTCTATATAATTCGTTTATCCGTAAATTAGGTTATTTTATATGGGACGATAAATATCGATTTGTAGTCTGGGCTTTTACAGTTTATTTGAGAGATCTTACGAGCTGAACGTAAGATATGTTATTTCTCGAAAATTCAGATATTTCAGTTCTTAAATACCGCTCCTCCGCCCAACTATAGCCTCGAGCATAGATCCATTTATATGCCACATTGAAGAGCTGAAAGTATTTACTCAAATGTTCTTTGGCACTTGTTTCAAGTGCTGTAATTTATTTGTTGTTTGTCTTTATAAAAGCACTGACAGTTAACTTTCTAATTAGCGTCGATTTTGCTTGGTCAACACTTGAATTTATTTGCATTAAATATGAAAATCATGGACATTATTTTGCCTGCGGCAAGAGTTTGTCTGCACGCAGTAATCAGTTTGCATTAAAGATTTAATGAAATACTGCTGGGCACCTGTAGAAACTTAATTACTGCTGGGAAATCAGCTTAATTATTTACTTTGCCAGAAATACAGATAGCCGCCAGACGAATACAATGGGCCCGCTCGCTTATGTATGTGCATACATTCATATATATGTACATACATATATGTACGCATGATAGCAGCAGATGTATGTACATACGGATTTCCTGGAAAACTTCCCCTGGGGCTGCGCATTTAACGAGAATATATGTTTGTAATTGCTTTTGATTTATCTCACTTTTATCGCCGACAGCTTGGAGAAGGCAGACGAATGGCCAAGTGAAGTGAAGTGTCATTTATTTGTTGATCTCGCCCTGCTCAGGCATGACAGAATAAAACTAATTTAGATAAATTATAAGCGGAATGCTTATTGATGAGTCCTCATTTGCCAAGCAGTTATTAAGTACATGCCGAATTGGAGTTTTTCCGCCTCTCTCTGCGCTTCGCTCTGTGCTCTGTGGCACGCGTCGTGCTCGAAGCCACAGGCCATCGACTTAAAAGAAAAACCGCAAAAATGATTTTCACTATATTTTCGTAATCCTCAATACACTCGTATTTATTTACGTTCATAATGTATACAGCACAAAGGACCTTTTGGCATTGCTTTTATGTGGGCAACACACAACCAACCACATTGCGGACAGTAAAGCGAAAAGTTTTACTCTGTGCGGCTACTTATGTATGCACATTATTGTACTACAACAATAACACCTGGCTATGTAACATTCAGATGTATGTTTGTACAAATGTCTGGCTTTATGAGGTCACACAACTATTTTTGTGCCTCATTTGAGGCGGCCAAACGGGAGAGCTTGCGGACACAAGCTCCATAACTTTTAGGTTCGATTTGTTAACCTGGCTTTTAATACCCTAAACTCATGGAATATGGGTAAAAAGGGTATAATGTACATATTTGTGCAAATGTATGTAACAGAGAGAAGGAAGGAAATAGATATACTCTCGATCAGCAGAAAGAGTCAAATTGATTTAGCCATGACCGTCTGTCCGTCTGTTAGGTTTTATCGGATAGAGAAATCTGACTTGTAGCTTCTAGAATTGTATGTATAAGTATTAGGTATATAGTATACTTCATATTGACGCTTTTGTCCCAGACTTATTTTGTCAAATATTTATATATATTTAGTGAAAGCTCAAATCCTTTAAAACTGGTCCTGGCAACTGGTCTTTAAGGTATTTGCAGTATCAATTTCGAAGCGGTTCGATTTAAAATCGCATCGATCAGGTGAAGTTAAGGAGAATATGTATATATATGCAATAGTATATGCATTTAAAAAATGGGCATTTCCCCCACAACAATAGATTAATCATATGAATAAAAGGCTGACATTTTATATGAATACATAACGAACTTTGCTTAACATAAAAAGGCAAAATTTCGCATCGACCTTTTCCAAAAAATATAAATCATATGATTCAACTTTCTTGTAACCCTTTTGTTGTCTACAAAAGCTCGTTTCTTTTTGAAACGTTGTCGAGATTCATTAGTTTATTGTTCGCAACCATATTGCAGCAGATTTCTGATTAATTCCATGAAAATTCCTTTATTTGCTTTAATACCTATTAAAGAGCTTGTTCTGCGCAGTGTATGGTATATAAAAAACAAAGTGCTTCACGTGCTGCCAATTTATTTTTCATTCTTCAGTCGGTGTTTATTTGCGCTCAGCGCGTTCTCAGAATAATGCTTTTTTCCATTATTTTTCAAATTAATTGGCCAGCATTTGTGCAACAATTTCCGGTCAGGAATTTCAGCTGCAGCCATGAGACAATAAGCGCGCGAGAGGCGCAGAGATAGCTGGCCAATCCCAGGGAGGGAAAGAAGGAGACGGAAAGAGCATTTGAATACTCGCATACATTTCAATTTTTGTAGTGCATATGCAGAAACGAATGAGCAAATAAACAAGCAGCTCGAGTGGTAGCAGGAGGAGGATTGGATTGGATTGGATTGGGTGGCAGTCGGGCGGATAAGTTGTGTGCAGTTGTTGCTCTGATGCGATTGTGTATGCATCGACTGGCTAAAATTTATGGAATTCCAAATGTTGACACAAACACAAATAATTTAAATGCTGTGTGAAACTGACATATTTCGCATATGTTATGCATTTTGGCCATTGGCACGTGCGGCATCTGCTTGAGCCCTCAGCTTTCGCTGGATTTCACACGGTACACGAAATTCAAGTGAGCCCATTTTCACCTTTGACTAAAACTAGAACCAGGACAAGGACTACCGCTCCCGGACGCAGGTGTCTATATATGTGTGTGTGTGTGTGTGTGAGTTACAACATGCTGGCTGCTTTTACATACTCCATGCATCCGCACAAACAAACACACTCTCATCTGCATTTGCATTTCCTCTCCTCTCTCTGTGTGTTTTTTTTGTATTCCTGCTTGAATAAATTATCCATGCCCGCTGTTTTGCATGCGAGTATTCCTGATCCGACTTTAAAGCAAAAGCTGAAACGTGCAGGTCGTTCCAAATAGTTAGATATCTATGGGCGAGTCCTGGAATTAAATTGCGCATTTCAATTGCTGAAATTGACAGGCTAAGATTGTCGGACAGTTCATTAGGAAGCACTCAAGTCAGCAACACGATAGTTGCATTAATTTTGTTAACAATTTCGTAAAGTTGTTGTTAATATTGTTATTATTGTTGTTGGCTTCCTGTTGCTGGCTCCGGCCACAAAAGCAGCTGAGCAGCTGAGCAGCTGAGAAGTGAGCAGCTGAGAAGTTCGGCAATCCCGGCATATTTAAATCCTCTTCATTGTATTCAAATTTCTTTATCCTTTATAATGCCAACCCACTTTTATAATGTCTCGGGCTTATTTTCCCCTTCCGGCCCCAGCGACTCGCTCGACAGTTCGGCTTCTTCGTTCGTATTATGGTTCATGTTCATGTCTTCTTTATCTAAATCATCCAACTGTGTAAATATTTGCCTCGCTTCCTGCATTCCATCCTCGTTATCCTTAAATCGTGCGTGCGAAGCTATACAAAGAGCCGAGTGCCGAGAGTGCACGGGACTCTGTGGCAAATGAAGAGGGCGGCTCGGTCTACCCAACGAACTCGTGGACCCAGACCCATCAAAACAACCCACTAACCCACCGACCGAACGGGACTCTATTCTGGGTTAAATTTTGCATATAAAAGACGGCGCTCCTGCGGATGTTGTCTTTGCAGCCGCACAGTGGGTCAATCGCATTATAAACAATGCTTGAAAAGAAGAGTATTAACAGCTTATATAAATCTCAATTGTTCTTAAAGAAAAATGTGTGCTTAAAAGTTTTCAATTTCAATCTAAATTATCGACAGAAGCAACCAAAAGTTAACAGGTCGTATACGCAACAAATATATTAAGCATACGCCCCACTGTGCACAATTCCGACGGTAAACAATAATCGCAGCATTAATCTGAAAATGCGCACAAATCCGTCAAACTCAGAACACTGAGGCCAAAGAGACAGTGAGAGACAGGGAAAGAAAAGACGAAGGGGAGAGAGAGGAACGGTTGTTGCAAGATGGGGGAACAAAGGGAACAACCAAAACCCCAACAATGACAAACAACATTGTCGGGGATTGTCAGGCCCACGCCATCATTAATTTGAAGAACTTCTCCCACGGTTATCCTTTCGTTGATTTCGCAGGTGGTTCGGGACTAAGCAAATGTTTCGCGTCATCATAAAAGGCAATTAGGCGGCATGACGCACAGGTTTATGGCTTTGAAAATAATATTAGCTATATATTTATGTTTATATTGCCCTACTCCAGAAGTTAATGGGCCGTGCTGGCAATTACCCAGTCAAGCTGGGTCGCACTGCAATCCGCCAGATCGACCAAGGCCCAATCCAATACACAAATTGTCGATTTGTCTAAATATGAATGCGGTTGCAACATGATCCGATACATGTTGCATACTCCCATGTAAATGGCATAGATGTTGGCGTGAATATGCTTTAACTATTTGCCGACTATGAAAACTGATACTTGACACACGCGAACGGACTCATGCCCAAAATGTGCTAGCCAAATTCTGGCAAGTGCCAGTTGGGGCGAGGCACAGTCTCGTGTAATACGAGAACGGTCAACATTGTTTGCAGAAGCGTTGCACAAAGCACTTGACGTGAATTGTTTTCTTAAATGGCTCATTGAAACTTATTTGACTTAAATAAAATCCCAAAAATGCTGCGCAAATTTCTAAACATGCGAAACGAGCTGTCCTAAAATGTTGTTAAAAGTTCATATTTGGTTTTTGCCTTAAAACCCATAAGCGTATTTTAAAATGGTGCTCTTAGTAGCAGCATAATAAAATGATTTTGCAAACTTTTCCGTAAGCTTTTAACTCAAACTCGCCGCAACGCGGCGGAGTTAGTGTGTAAAAACTTAAAAATTCCAGAGTTAACTAAGTATTATTTTATGTACTTACATTGATTATTCCATACTTCTATGCTTGCAGTTGGCGATATATAAACATAAAATGGAACCCAAATCCAGCTTAAGCTCACAGGAGGAACGTGCCCTCAAAAGTTCAGGTATGCAATAAAGACTTTTCGATTCGAGCTCGACAGCATTTTAGCTGAACGTTGAATAGTTTTGGCAAAGGTTTTTGTATGTTGAAATCAAATAAATATTGTGCTGCGCTCTCAACTAAATTTCTAGCTGAATACACTTGGCAAAGCCAGTAGTTAGTTGACCTACAAATATAAAGGAAGGGGTTTTGTAAGTAAAACAAGTAAGAGGCTCTAGTCGAGAGCTCCCGACTAGGGGATACCCTGAACCCTCTTCTTCCAACATCAAATGCATATATATATTCTATTTTAGAAGCTATATGTCAAGTTTGGTGACTCTAGCTCTTGATATTTACCAAAATTGCCCAAAAAACATGATATCGATATCGATTTTTACCGATTGCTTGGAAACGGAGCAAGTTATCGATTATCGGTCTGCGCGGGAACTAGGAGCATCTACATCTAAAATTTCAAGTCTCTAGCTCTTATAGGTTCTGAGATCCTTGCGTTCATACATACGGACGGACGGACGGACGGACAGACAGATAGACAGACGGACATGGCTAGATCGACTCGGCTATTGGTGCTGATCAAGAATATATATACTTTATGGGGTCGGAGATGCTTCCTTCTTCCTGTTACATACATTTCGCTTTCGCACAAATACAATATACCCTTATACCCATTTTTAATGGGTTCAGGGTATAAAAAACAAACTTTTTGACGATTGACGAATCCCTACTATCATACGGCATTCAAACAAATTAAAAATTGATGGGTTGAAATGAGGATATATGTATATGTAGGATATTTGAGGGTACCATTTTCACATGAATTTTGACCAAAATTTATGTTGTCAGATTTGAATGCCAAATTGATTAAGAGGCCAAACCATGGATAAAAAGCCAAACCTTTTGAAAATCGGTTGAGTTTTGACCGAGTTATGGGAGTTGGAAATTTTGACCTATAGGATATATGTATATATGGGATATTTGAGGGTACCATTTTCACATGAATTTTGACCAAAATTTATGTTGTCAGATTTGAATGCCAAATTGATAATTAGGTCAAACCATGGACAAAAAGCCGAACCTTTTGAAAATCGGTTGAGTTTTGACCGAGTTATAGGAGTGGGAAATTTTGACCTATATCTCAATATAGGATATATGTATATGTAGGATATTTGAGAGTACCATTTTCACATGAATTTTGACCAAAATTAATGTTGTCAGATTTGAATGCCAAATTGATTGAGAGGTCAAACCGTGGGTAAAAAGCCAAACCTTTTGAAAATCGGTTGAGATTTGACCGAGTTATGGGAGTTGGAAATTTTGATTTATATCTCCATATAGGATATATGTATAATTAGGATATTTGAGGCTACCATATTCACATGAATTTTGACCAAAATTGATGTTGTCAGATTTGAATGCCAAATTGATTATGAGGTCAAACCATGGACAAAAAGCCGAACCTTTTGAAAATCGGTTGAGATTTGACCGAGTTATGGGAGTTGGAAATTTTGATTTATATCTCCATATAGGATATATGTATAATTAGGATATTTGAGGCTACCATATTCACATGAATTTTGACCAAAATTGATGTTGTCAGATTTGAATGCCAAATTGATAATGAGGTCAAACCATGGACAAAAAGCCAAACCTTTTGAAAATCGGTTGAGTTTTGACCGAGTTATGGGAGTGGGAAATTTTGACCTATCTCTCCATATGGGATATATGTATATGTAGGATATTTGAGGGTACCATTTTCACATGAATTTGGACCAAAATTTATGTTGTCAGATTTGAATGCCAAATTGATAAAGAGGTCAAACCATGGACAAAAAGCCAAACCTTTTGAAAATCGGTTGAGTTTTGACCGAGTTATGGGAGTTGGAAATTTTGACCTATAGGATATATGTATATATGGGATATTTGAGGGTACCATTTTCACATGAATTTTGACCAAAATTTATGTTGTCAGATTTGAATGCCAAATTGATAATTAGGTCAAACCATGGACAAAAAGCCGAACCTTTTGAAAATCGGTTGAGTTTTGACCGAGTTATAGGAGTGGGAAATTTTGACCTATATCTCAATATAGGATATATGTATATGTAGGATATTTGAGGCTACCATTTTCACATGAATTTTGACCAAAATTTATGTTGTCAGATTTGAATGTCAAATTGATAATTAGGTCAAACCATGGACAAAAAGCCAAACCTTTTGAAAATCGGTTGAGATTTGACCGAGTTATGGGAGTTGGAAATTTTGATTTATATCTCCATATAGGACATATGTATAATTAGGATATTTGAGGCTACCATATTCACATGAATTTTGACCAAAATTGATGTTGTCAGATTTGAATGCCAAATTGATAATGAGGTCAAATCATGGACAAAAAGCCAAACCTTTTGAAAATCGGTTGAGTTTTGACCGAGTTATGGGAGGTGGAAATTTTGATTTATATCTCCATATAGGATATATGTATATGTGGAATATTTGAGGGTACCATTTTCACATGAATTTTCACCAAAATTGATGTTGTCAGATTTGAATGTCAAATTGATAATGAGGTCAAACCATGGACAAAAAGACAAACCTTTTGAAAATCGGTTGAGTTTTGACCGAGTTATGGGAGTGGGAAATTTTGACCTATCTCTCCATATGGGATATATGTATATGTAGGATGTTTGAGGGTACCATTTTCACATGAATTTGGACCAAAATTTATGTTGCCAGATTTGAATGCCAAATTGATAAAGAGGTCAAACCATGGACAAAAAGCCAAACCTTTTGAAAATCGGTTGAGTTTTGACCGAGTTATGGGAGTGGGAAATTTTGACCTATCTCTCCATATGGGATATATGTATATGTAGGATGTTTGAGGGTACCATTTTCACATGAATTTTCACCAAAATTGATGTTGTCAGATTTGAATGCCAAATTGATAATGAGGTCAAACCATGGACAGAAAGACAAACCTTTTGAAAATCGGTTGAGTTTTGACCGAGTTATGGGAGTTGGAAATTTTGATTTATATCTCCACATAGGATATATGTATATGTGGAATATTTGAGGGTACCATTTTCACATGAATTTTCACCAAAATTGATGTTGTCAGATTTGAATGCCAAATTGATAATGAGGTCAAACCATGGACAGAAAGACAAACCTTTTGAAAATCGGTTGAGTTTTGACCGAGTTATGGGAGTTGGAAATTTTGATTTATATCTCCACATAGGATATATGTATATGTGGAATATTTGAGGGTACCATTTTCACATGAATTTTCACCAAAATTGATGTTGTCAGATTTGAATGCCAAATTGATAATGAGGTCAAACCATGGACAAAAAGCCAAACCTTTTGAAAATCGGTTGAGTTTTGACTGAGTTATAGGAGTGGGAAATTTTGACCTATATCTCAATATAGGATATATGTATATGTAGGATATTTGAGAGTACCATTTTCACATGAATTTTGACCAAAATTAATGTTGTCAGATTTGAATGCCAAATTGATTGAGAGGTCAAACCATGGGTAAGAAGCCAAACCTTTTGAAAATCGGTTGAGTTTTGACCGAGTTATGGGAGTTGGAAATTTTGATTTATATCTCCATATAGGACATATGTATAATTAGGATATTTGAGGCTACCATATTCACATGAATTTTGACCAAAATTGATGTTGTCAGATTTGAATGCCAAATTGATAATGAGGTCAAATCATGGACAAAAAGCCAAACCTTTTGAAAATCGGTTGAGTTTTGACCGAGTTATGGGAGGTGGAAATTTTGATTTATATCTCCATATAGGATATATGTATATGTGGAATATTTGAGGGTACCATTTTCACATGAATTTTCACCAAAATTGATGTTGTCAGATTTGAATGTCAAATTGATAATGAGGTCAAACCATGGACAAAAAGACAAACCTTTTGAAAATCGGTTGAGTTTTGACCGAGTTATGGGAGTGGGAAATTTTGACCTATCTCTCCATATGGGATATATGTATATGTAGGATGTTTGAGGGTACCATTTTCACATGAATTTGGACCAAAATTTATGTTGTCAGATTTGAATGCCAAATTGATAAAGAGGTCAAACCATGGACAAAAAGCCAAACCTTTTGAAAATCGGTTGAGTTTTGACCGAGTTATGGGAGTGGGAAATTTTGACCTATCTCTCCATATGGGATATATGTATATGTAGGATGTTTGAGGGTACCATTTTCACATGAATTTTCACCAAAATTGATGTTGTCAGATTTGAATGCCAAATTGATAATGAGGTCAAACCATGGACAGAAAGACAAACCTTTTGAAAATCGGTTGAGTTTTGACCGAGTTATGGGAGTTGGAAATTTTGATTTATATCTCCACATAGGATATATGTATATGTGGAATATTTGAGGGTACCATTTTCACATGAATTTTCACCAAAATTGATGTTGTCAGATTTGAATGCCAAATTGATAATGAGGTCAAACCATGGACAAAAAGCCAAACCTTTTGAAAATCGGTTGAGTTTTGACTGAGTTATAGGAGTGGGAAATTTTGACCTATATCTCAATATAGGATATATGTATATGTAGGATATTTGAGAGTACCATTTTCACATGAATTTTGACCAAAATTAATGTTGTCAGATTTGAATGCCAAATTGATTGAGAGGTCAAACCATGGGTAAAAAGCCAAACCTTTTGAAAATCGGTTGAGTTTTGACCGAGTTATGGGAGTGGGAAATTTTGACCTATCTCTCCATATTGGATATATGTATATGTAGGATGTTTGAGGGTACCATTTTCACATGAATTTTCACCAAAATTGATGTTGTCAGATTTGAATGCCAAATTGATAATGAGGTCAAATCATGGACAAAAAGACAAACCTTTTGAAAATCGGTTGAGTTTTGACCGAGTTATGGGAGGTGGAAATTTTGATTTATATCTCCATATAGGATATATGTATATGTGGAATATTTGAGGGTACCATTTTCACATGAATTTTCAC